TTCAGTTCCCCAAGGTTTTTCTGGAAGGCCTCAGAAGACCTCATGAACGGGGCTGGTGACTCCAGGCACAGAGGGAGCCACAGGGAAGCCCAAAGTGCCGGCAGGATGGTCCCTTATGCAGGCATTGGACATGTCTCCTGCGCCAACCCTTGCACAATCTCCTGATGGTCCTATTGTGGCTGGGGTTTCCCTGCAGCACCCTGTTTGCCCCCACTTACTTCTTGGACCCAGCGGTATTTGTGGCCACCCTGGGGTCCAGGTCTCCCCTCCCACACGCTGAGGGGGAGCCCTAGCTCAGAGCTGCCTGCTTTGGGTCTTTCTTCTTCTATTCTTTTCCATCTCTTGACAAAACCTAAAGAGAACAGAAGCCTTTGGGCTTGGGTCCCTTATTTCTGCGTTAGCCAAGTTTGCGTAGCTTGGCACCCACTGGTTAAATGGCCACGTAAGGAATTCCTGTTCCCATTGGACCCAATACTGTATTTTTTGCTTTGTCTTAAAGGTTAACAAGTCGCTCTGTCAACTTCATTGCCTCACTGCCTGTTCTTCGCATGCAAAGGAGTCTTATGTTTTTGTTGTCATGGGGAATTCCTTGCCTATGAACTATGATAGTCTTTACTTTTTACCTAGCGTGAGAAGGGCCAGCGTATATAGCTTAATTGGATGAGTCACATCAATAAACATATCTAGCCCGTATGTGAAGTGCAAAAGCAGTAAGAGTGACGGGTGAATTTACAGCTTCAGGAAACGTCTACATGCTTTTGCTTTGAGTGAGCATCAGAGCAAACGTGTTATGTAAATGCATGTGGTTGCACAACTCCTCAGTGTTACTGATCTCACATCTATTTGTGCGTACGGAGTGGCTGAACAGCTCTCCTCAAAAACAAGCCAATATTGCTGTTCTAAAAGCAGAAATCTGTGGGTCATGCGGGCTGTGTTAAAGACAGCACCATAGCCCGTTTACACTGACTTCTCAAGTTTCATCCCACACACAAAATATGCCGGGTCAAACCAGAAAGAGCATTTGTTGCCGCCCTGTTTCCCTGCCAAAATGAATTTTCTTCTCGCTGATCCAAACACTCCTGAGGTCAATGCTCTCGCACTCTCATGCTTTCCGGGTCAATAGGATTTTATTCTGAGCATTCACTTCCGCTGCTAAAGAACAAAAGGAAGCAGAGATTTCAGATACCTGTCCCGGCAGCTGGAGACTGACTGAAGGTCCTACAGAAAAGAAACAATCTCAGGGGCAGGTTTGGTGCCAGGCTTCCCCAAAGTGGGACAGACACATAGTCCACATCTGCTTTTCAGGAGCCGTGCTCCCCTGTGAGGCCTGAGCTCTTAGGAGACATTCCAGGCTAGCATGATGGCATTTCCATATCCTGCAAGTATCACCTAAAATAATTTCTGACATCTGAAATAATTAATTCTCTAAACCCACCTTTTAATGTCTTCTAGGTATACATATGTTCGGTTTGAAAAAAGTATTGCAGGCATAAAAGAGAGGATTCAAGGAAGGGAAAATGAGAAACAAAGGAATAACTTTTTTAGACTAAGCAAAAAATGTTCTTGGTTTCCCATCAGTTGCCAGAAGTGGAAGAGGGGATTTTTGCGTTATTATTCTCCTTTGGCGTAATTGTTAATATAGCGTGTGACTAGGACATTTATAGTCTTAGTCTTCTGCTCTGCAGCTGAACTGAAATAAGGTTTCAATTTCTAAGTTTCTGATCACACCAAGACAGATTTTTCCATTAGAAGCTTATGGAAACAGAATTAAGAGAGGTTTTTTTGTTTGAGACTGCAGTGAAATGCCAGTTATGAATTTAGCAGTGAGCTTCTGGGGAGCCTGACACTTCCAATGTTTGAAAAAGTTAGAGCTAGGATTTTTTATGACAGATTTGATTTCAGCAGAGGAAGAGGGACTCCTGAGACACTCTGCTCCAAAGTGAGAAAACCCTTACCAGTACCTACAGCACTGCAAGGTCTCAGCAGTGTTGGCTCAAGAGAGCTTGGAGCTTGGTGCGTATTGAGACACTTGTTACTTCCTCCAGAGACATTTTAGACTGCAAGCTTTTCATGCCTCTAATATTTTAATCTTCGACCTATTGGTTATAGCTGACTTTTAGCCTTATTCACCATACCGTAGTGGCAGAAAAATATTTACATCTGAATGATGCCCCCGCATTTTGAAGTATCATCTGCAAATGACAGCCTGCTCCTGGTTTCCATCAAACAGAAGTAAGAGGCCAGCAGCTATTTGATCTGAATAGGTTTGGAGGAACTTCCCTTCCTGACCGGCTTTTTAAGAAATCCATGATTAAAGGCAGCGAAGACCCAACACCCATACAGTCAATCGCTGTAGTAGCTCTTAACAGAACAGCACAAAATACCAAAATACATCAGTAGGAATAAAAATGGATTGATGTGCTGTCCTCACACATTGAACTGCTCAAGTTGCAGTTTTAACATCTAAACTAAAAAGACAGACTAACAAGCAAAACCTTGAATTTCCTGCTTGTGACCTGTCCCACCAGGTTCCACACACCACCGAGCTGTCCCACATGTCTTCACAATATAAGTGAAAATGTCATGTAAATGATCAAAATAAACTGGCGGAAAACAGTAGGTGCCAAATATAGTTAAGTTTTATTTTTTATTATCTGATAACACTGTGATAATATAAACTGTATAAAGCATGATAAAACACTTCCATAAAACAGAGTAGGTACACATTATAAAATAAAAAATAAAAATATTGCTAACAAAAGGAAAAAAAACATTAAAAAGAAAATATTACAATAAAATAACTGTACCAGTTTCTTCCTGTATTCCAAAATTTATTGAAAATGTTTAAATTATGCAGCACTAAGATAAGTTACTTTTATTTTCTCTCTTGATTTTAAACATGCACTAACTCAAACAGAAATAAAACCTATTAATCAATACAGAAAATGTTATTAACCATGTAACACTGCATGTAGATTTAAGGAGGGACGATGCAGTGGCTGTTAAAAGAAATGCATTATAATTACTTCCCTTCCCATGGGTTTACAGATTTTAGCAATCAAAAATAGCTTAATAATTCACAATAAAAGGAACAGCCACTGAATTAGCAATAAACTCTGATAAACGAGCAGTTATTGAAAAAATGTTTGTCAGAAAACTATCAAACGAAAGCTAGCTATGCTTTGAATAATCTGTGCACAAAGTGATGGCATTCACTGCCACCCTGATCTTTGCATTCGCTATGATCCTGCCAGCCCTATCAGAAAAACAGATTGTGAAACCTGAACCCTATTAACGTCAACAGAAATCTTGAGACCGAAATTCCACTTACAGGTCTTGAAGAGAAACACGCGTGCCTTCTGACCACGATACTGCATATAATCCTACTTAAAATGTGCTTTGTTTTCACTATGACGATATTCCTAGTGAAAGGAGTGCTTTTTTTCTCCACCTCCTGCGGAGCATTGGACAAACAACCCACAGGGCAGCTGGGGATGTGTTTTTCGCCCCTCACCTCCGCAAACACCAGTGTATGTTCTTTTGCATTAACTCTCAGAGACAGCAAGCTTGCCTTGAACTAAACTATTTAGCCCCTGCCACATTCTTCAAACTCCAGAAGAAAGCAGCTAAGGAACAACTGTCGGGACTATCAGGTGCATTTGCTGAGAGTTAATCCCACAAACTTTAAAAAAATGAAACAAATCAGCCAAGCGCCCCAAAAACATTTGACTCCTAGATCTTGCACGCAGTGCAAGGCCATCAGTGACCCTGTCAGTTCCTTTTGCTCTTTCTCGTATTACACTCTTGCAGATTACATTACTTCAAAGGAGGCTGGAAGTTTTCAGAGGTGCGCCTGCATTTTTCTATGCATTTGGAGAGTTATCTCAACACTTACTGAGGTGGTATGTCCATGCACGGTCTTTAATTATTCAATGTACGAAAAATACATTTTTAAAAATAGCCCTTAACACATGAACTACTTCACATTCTTACCAGGAACATTTTAACTATCCCCAGTAAACACTGCCACTGCCCCTTTGCAGAAATGTGATGACTTTAATCATGATCAGATGCAAAATCCCTTTTAATTTATCTATAAACATCCTGGTCAGAAATACATGAACTAACAATTTAACACAGATGCTACTAGCTCAAGAATTCAAGCAATGTAATTTTGTGAAACAAAAGAGAAAATGGATTTTTCTTTTGCTTGGATTTTTTGCTGACTGGATACATACATTCTTAAACAGTAGCAAAGCGGCCTTCAGTTTTTGTGAAAATATTTGAGATTAAAAGATTCCAGAGCAGATCCTTCTTAGCATCAGTTACAAAAGCTCTAGTAGCATTAATAACCAGTAGAGGATCCTACTTATTATATCAAAGACATAGAAACTCCATTTTTTTCATACCCGTTTGTTGTTTGTTTTAAGAGACCCCACTCATGCAAGCAAAGCAAAATTTGAAACACAACTTGATGAGGGAGTTTTGGTAAGGCCAAAATTATTAGTGAGCAAAACCTCTTCCAGTATAAAACATCGATCTTAACAGAGCTAGTAAGCAGCCAAATGACTTAATATACTAGGGAGCTGCTGCTGCCTAGCAATAGTTAGCGGTTATTGACTTACTGACTTTTCCAACCAAAGTCAGAGGAAATCTTCTCATTGATACAAAGCAGAGTGGAATCTGGGCCCAAGACCAGGTATACATATTGTCTCTGTTACTAAAGTTCTATTCTATTGTGTTTCTAATTCCATCTTACAGTTTGAGATATGTCCAGTTTACATCAATTAAAAATCAGATGATTGCCCCACTATGAGAAATCAGCATTTACAATTTTGTAAGGAAAAAAAAAGGCACTGAACCCAATGACCATAGTCAAAATAAACTAATTCCATAGTTTTAAAAATAAGGATATCAGCATACTGAAATGTTTTCAATGTTTTTAGTTTTAAAAAAAGAAGTACAAAATTATATTGAAACTTGAAAATTCACAAGAAAATGTTTTCAGGAGCTTTGCACAGCCCTATGCAGGAGCAGTGATGCTCTGATAAAGTCTTTTTGACTCCAGTTATAAAGACAGAACCAGCTTCTTGAGGAACTGGGACTTACAACACATCCTCTATGTATGGTTGTTGTTAAGATTGTTCTTATTAAAGAATCTCCTTGCTTCAACACTGCTAAGAGACACAGAGCAGCGAGATGGATTCTCTTTTCTGTATTCAATGCTTTCCATCATAGCTTCCTTGATCACCTGGAAAACAGTGAACATGTCATTCAGGGAAATTACTAACATTTTAATGATTTATTCACTGATAGAAAAGATCCCTTCATATGTTAATAACTGTTATTCCTACTTTTAACACTGCACCATCATTGAAAAAAGTGATTGCTGAGTATTATTATGAATATTATTTCTTGACTGTATAAAACACTGATTTTAATGTAGTTAATAAAGATATGACAGGATACCACCAATGCCAAAGAAGTCTCTCCCCCAGCCTGGAGTACTGCGTCCAGTTCTGAAGCCCCCAACATAGGAAAAACATGGACCTGTTGGATTGGGTCCAGAGGAGGGCCACAAAGATGATCAGAGTGCTGGAGCCCCTCACCTAAGACAGGCTGAGAGAGTTGGGGTTGTTCAACCTGGAGAAGAGAAGGCTCTGGGAAGACCTTATAGCAGCTTTCCAGTATCTGAAGGGCGCCTACAAGAAAGCTGGAGGGGGACTTTTTACAAGGGCATTTAGTGATAGGACGAGGGGGAATGGCTTCAAACCACAAGAGAGAAGATTTAGAATAGATATTAAGAAGAAATTTTTCACTATGAGGGTGGTGAGGCACTGGAAAATGGTGCCCAGGGAAGTTGTGGAGGCCCCATCCTTGGAAGTGTTCAAGGCCATTTTGGATGAGGCTTTGAGCAACCTGGTCTAATGGGAAGTGTCCTTGCCCATGGCAGGGGGGTTGGAACTAGAACTCCCTTGCAAACTAAACGATTCTATGATGATTCTACGATTCTAAGTTGACAACGCCACAGCTTGTGCATTCTTCTACACAAGCTCATGAAGAACTTACCTACGGTATACTCCAGCCCTCATTAAAATAAAGCAGTTTTTTTTCACTGACTATAATAGGCTTTGATACAGCCTCAATTCTGAGAATACAATGAGGGAACAATGAAATGCAGGAAGCACTTTGTATGTCACAACAATCAGGCAAACACTGAAGTAAACCCCTGTACCTTCTGTATGGCAGATTTAGAGCTTTACTCGCATCACACACTTTCCCACTTAACAACCTAGACCCTTTAAACCCCTTCCACACTGGCATACGTACACCTATGTTATTGAGGGTGTTGAACTCCATTAGATCATGAAGCCTCTTGAAAGCCTCATTGGGATACTGGAAGTTGAAGGTAGAGAATGGTGTATTTGGATCATCAAAAATGTCAAAGTCTGCAAAATCCTTCTCTTCCTGTGTTTCTCTTGGAATGCCTGCATGCACAACAAATACAAAAATACAATCTAAATGTTAGGTCTGAGGAAATCCTTAACTACCACAGATAGACTTAAGAGTTATATCAGAGACAAAACATTTCTAGTGTATAATCACCATGTCATTATAAAGCTTCAAAGGAACAGCTAGATTTAGCATCAGAAACTGTGTGCTCACCTGGAGCTTTGTACTTCCGGAAGTTGATGTTAGCCAAAACAAAATGGATTATGGTTGGACAGTCTTTATCCGAAGAGGTGTCCTTTGGTTTGAAAACATAGCACTCCTTCATGCCCTCTCGATCAAATACATTTGGGTCTATTTTCGGGAAAGGAAGCTTGTTCATTTTGGCCCATTTTTCAGCAAGTAAAATTTCCTGAAAAGATAACAAAGACTCAGGTGCATATAAGCACCCACTGGAAAGTGAGATTTTATGTTGAGAAACACAGGTTAAACTGGTTACTAGAAGCAGTTTTATTAACTCATGATTCTTTACGGCAGTACTGATCAAATCAATCTTTGTATAGACCACCCAGCAGGGCGAACTGAGCACCTGATTCAGCCTCCCTATCTTCACCACCTGCGATGATTCACACGAATGAAAGAACTGGTCCGTCACATAAATCTTTGGGTGAATTTACAGAGCTGACAGCTAGAAAAAACCATCCGTAATTCTAATTGCAAACTGAGTATTGGTGCTATGGAAACCAATGAGAGTTAATAAACACCAATCCACGCGTTGTTATGTTCAGAGTCACATCATAGCACAGAATAGAACTTGAAAGCATGCTAATTGAAGAAGTAAGTCTGGAAAACAGGCTTTTTTTCCTTGTGACAACTCAGTAAACAAAATAATTTGTAAATAATGACTCAAAAGTGTGTAATGAGGGTGTGTGAGAGGGAGGAGAGGGAAGGTCAACAACTATAATCTTGGTTTTAAATTAAATAGGACCCTTCTTTGGGCAACTGTTTTGGATACGCAAGGGATTAAAAGATAGTGGGTGTAAAATGATAAAACAAGAGTAGAGTCATTGACTTCATCTAGCTGATTTCACTACGTGTTGGAGTAATAAAAGTACGTTAGAGCACTACCATACATGCAGGCCAACTACTGAACTGGCATTTACTCTTTGTAATGCACACAGAACCAGTAAACAGCCAGTAAACAAAACTGGTTTCTGTCCTTTAGGCAATTAGCATACAGCCTCTCCTGTAGATTATACCCATGTATTCGCTGGAGCTATGCCACTCTTTTTATTATACACATATTTGCGCTTCAGAAATAATGAACTATTCCCTTCAATGGTGGCTTCATAAAAACCTAAGGTACAGTTTTATTTTCCCACTATTTTTTCTTGCGTTAAAGGATTTTTCCTTTTTGAAATTAGATTTTACAGAAAAACCTTCAGGACGCTATCTGACTTCCAAGCAATCTCTCCATGTTATGTTCCCCAAAATGGAACCGAAAATTGCAGCTGATGGAAGCAGAAAGCTCAATGCATAGGCTAAGAGTAACAGAGATGACTATGCACAGCCTTTTGCACAGACTCCACATGCAGAACATTAACAAAGGGAGGAAAAAAAGAAGACATTTCAGAGGAGATGACAGTGCTATGTCATTAAATTTAGCTGATAGGGAAAATACTCAGTCATGACAAAAAAAAAGAGACAAATTCTTAAACAAATAGAAAATTAAAGGAAGAAACAGACTGTGGGATTCAGTCAAGGAAAAACGAAGGATCTCAGCAGTAGTAAGACTCTTCTCAGTGTTCGATTCTTACAAGTAGTCCCCAAGAGACCTAGAGATTACAGAAGTTACTCCTTTTTATTCTCCTGAAGCTTGTTTTTCTTTGCATTTGACAACACTGAATTAGAGTTCATTTTGCTACTGCTGTTATTTTCTAATGTTGTTTTGGGGTTTTGTCCCTTGATAGCAAGAGGAAGGAAAAAATTACTCTCTTTGCTCTAATTGAAATTTGTCCGTAAAGCAAAAAAGAATGCCAGTTGTTTCTCAAACAGGCATGTTCTCTTGGTTTCCCTAAAAAGAATCTAAAAAATCCACTTGGGTTTCAAATATTTATTGCCTCGTTTCTGAGCACCTCACAGTAGTTTTTTAAGTCCTGCTTTTTCTGTGTCAGCTACTAAAATGATCCAACGTTAAGCCTTTCTGACCAGTTGGAGCTGTCTGGCTGCATAGGTAATACAGGTCGTACAGACTGAAAGACGTGCTTTCCACACCTGCTACAGAAAAAAGTCATGTGATTTAATCCATATTTTTCTGTTGTTGCTTTGCTCTGGCCTGAATGGATTAAGAATCCTACTTAAACCAATACTGGGCTTAACCCAGTGAGATATAAATGAGCAGTTAGCCCCACTTCCAAAATGTTATATATTTGGCAATACCATAGTGACTGAGACACATTTCTGCAAGATGACGACAGAAAACTATTCATTTACATCACAACATCACAGAGGAGAATAGCTGTACAGAGCCAGAGCACTAGCACAATGATAAATGAATTAATTGTCTAATACTGACATAAAATTCTGCAATTCGTCGTGAAGGCAAGACTTCCATGAAAACAACAGAGCTCCCACTTCAAACAAATTATATTAATTAGCCTTCTTGGTGTCAGTTGTCTCATGTGAGTCATGTAAACAGGAACTGAGGCAGAGTGCAATATTCTGCCTTGACGTGGAAACAAGCTGCTCCAATGCTGTCGATACAATAGCACTAAGGCCATCTGGAACCATGAAATGTGCAACCAGCCCAACTGGAAGAAAACAACCGAGTCAAATTTATTAACACAAAGAAAGGAATGACCTATCTTACTTACTTTGAAAGGAGGACTAGAATCACTTGGCCTTGCTGAAAAATCGAAAGAGATGATGAGATCAACGCCTCTTTGCGGTCTTAAGATAAGTGGGTACGGCAGGTTGAACGTAAGCCCACTGTCCACTATGTGAATCTTTTTGCTCTTCACATCTAGTGGCTCATATATCCTCTCAAACTCATCAGGATCTGAGCAGAAGAAATGAAAACAAAACAAAACAGGAACACACCAGTTAAGAATTGAAATTGTGATGGGCTTTCAAGTGTTTCCCCAACTACTGAAGGTTCCACTGAATTCAAATTTTACAGTATCCCAGCTAAGCATACTGTGAAATCATGTGTAACCTTAACTCTTGCCTTAACAACTGGAGAATGCAGGGAAAAAAACAGAGCTGGACGGTGTATACCTGAAATTTAAGCACTGGGCAGAACTGCATGTAAGCCACTTACTGCTATTACTGTCATGGTATAGTATAAAATATTTTCCTATATTTAATGCCCAAGCTGAGGGCTGAAGAAGATGATGTTTCCCCTTTAACTCCAATATTCCCTGGGTGCAGCTCAGGAAAAACCAAGCAATTTTTCATAAGTGTCTTTGCACTTATCCAAGTCTCTAGATATTACTAAATGATCCCTGCAGTACTTAAAACTGTTCTCCTGACAGTTTTTTCTTGCTCTAGATCTTAAAAATACATGGCTTTGCCTTTTGATTAAAAACTAATGCTCACATCTGTAGAGGGCAGTGTAATCTAAGGAATGCTGAATAGAATAATATAATTATTTCTTGTATAATTAAATTTCCTAGCACCTACATATTGGTAATGGAAGTAATCTGAAAAAAGATGCTTTAATGTGGAGATAATCCATCAAAATAGTTCAAACTGTAGTTCCTACCAGGATCCTATCAGGATCCATCAGAAAAAAATGTTGTTATAAGCAACAAAAAAAATCTCAGAACAGGTATTTTGACTTTTTATTTCTGTTATTATTATTTATTTGAGGGCACTTTGTTAAGTAATGAGGCACCAGTTTCCTAATATTCACCTTGATTTCTAAGGGAGAAAAAATTTTCAAATCATTGCTTATTGCTAAAGGGCTAAGTGTGTTTATAGACCTATTTTAGAACCAGATATATTTCATAACAATGAATTAGCGTAAACCAATGAAAATATATTCGTGTTCATCAAATTCATCATAACTAAAAAAACACTGGTAAAAAAATACACCTACTACAGATCCTTTTAGCCCAAGTAAATCAGCTTTGTTTTCCCCTTCCTTTTAAAGACAACATTTCAAACATAATTTAACCCTTGTTGTCAATAAAGTTTCTGAAAATTGCAGAAACATTTTTGTTCAAGTTTTGCATTATCTTATTTTAAAAAATTTTAATTTGAAAGTCAACAATGATCCTTTAAACAAGACTTGTACCACCTATAATAATGTTTGTGATGGGAGTGTTACTGCATACACAAACTTCCTACCAAAAAGGCACTGAAGAACAAGATGGTTCCTATTGCTTACAGCCTTTATGACTCTACGATCAAATTTATCATCATAATTTTATGATATTTTAAATGACAAAACATCATAATGCCATCAATAAATTTATAATGACTACATAGATTGTTTTTATTAGTCATGGTCTTCTGTGATTACAGGAGAAATTCAATGAAAGGCTTTTCTTTTTATTATAATTCATTTTAGAAGTACATTTCTAATATTTGAACCAAGAAGAAAAGTTCCAAAGCGTAACTTGTGTCCATGTTGTGGGGTCAGAATTCAAAAAGCAATGAAAATAATCCAGTGTTATTTTAACAACATGACTTTAAAAGCAGACTCAGACTGTAATTTGATTTGATTTACACAGGATGTGGAGCCAGAGGCCAGAAGCAGCACACAATGCCCCAATGAGACAATGCAAGCAGGCAGACTCAACTGTGGGTCAGAGCACTGCAGGTGAGCCTGCAATTGCTCCTGGGAGAGGTGTAATGTACAATAAGCATCCCTGATGCTAAAAGAAGCATCGCCTGCTCTATAGCCTACACTGGATAAGAAACCTTTGTTCTTTTTATACTTTACAACACATGGATCCAGGACAATCATTTTATATACTCTAGCAGCCCTGGTAAGTCAATCCATCATTATTCATCACACAGTATGAAGACTGAATGGAGTATTTATGCTCTGAGAGCCTGGGACATTAATTTTCAGCCCATGCAGACTGCTTTTATGAAAGATGCATCCATATTACGAGAAGCTTTCAGTCCCTCAAACAGCAAACTGGGAGAAGCCCAAGATGTTTATAAGTACAGCTCTGTGTGAAACCAGCACAGCATGCCCATCTGATTTGCAGTAATCGGATACACAAACGGATATTAAGAATTGTTTGGAAATAAAAAGAGAGCATGTTCTAGAGATCAAACTTTGTCACAGATGGCAGCTTCAATGGATGCATGGGAGATGAAAAGGGCATTTGCAACTGACGTACGTCTACTATAACAGAGTTTCCATAAATACTTAAATAAGGAAGTGGAGATTATGAGTTATTTTTTCCCTATTGTTATTCACTTGGCATTTTCTCAAGTAATTTTGGTGTGTTGTAATATCAAGGCACAGAAACAGAACAACTCTGAGTTCACAGTGAAATCATTCACGGGGTGTAAAGTTTTAAAGCATACTTGCGATCAATTAAGAAAACATTCAGCGTAAATAGAATCTGTAGCAAAGTGAATGCAAGCATTTTACTTTCGGAGCAGCAGCTGGGATCTCTGCTGTATGCACTGCAGACCCTAAATTCAGTCGGCTTAGGTCTGCCATAGTTCATCTTCTGCGGTACAACCCAGTGGTTCTACAGAACGTCTGAGACCAGTGGAGATGTGAAGTATTATTTATATTTATATTTTTGATACATTTATTTCTCCTTTGGAGTGTCTGTTAATAAAGAGAAAGTAAGTCTTAAAGCAATTCAGACTTCTCTCTGTACTCAAGCTGATAGGTAAAATGCTAAGTGGTAGGAATAAATAAGCAAAGCTTAACTGCATCCAGTGCCTTGGTAATATACAATATCTAGAATTTACATCAAAGTTGCCCTTCTGTCTACTCCTCTGGACTTCTAGGCTCTTATATATATTAGCAAAATTCACAGCATTAAAATCTGGATACACTTAATCGCACTACTGAATGACTGCATTTTGTATTAACTACAGAAATTTCAAGGGTTTTTTAACTACCCTTGACCATAATATTGCAACAACTCATAGCTGTTAGATTTGAGTTGTTAGTTCAGGTTTATGAGTGTGGGCTGCAGCTAACACTAAAAAAAAAATCACAGTTATGTCAAACTTTTGCCAGACATTTTATCCAAAGAAATTTCAAGCACTCAAAAGTAATTGCCTCAGAGGTGCAGTCTCGTTCTGTCAAACCAGCATTTTATTTCAATTGAAATTAAAACCGAGGAAGCTGGATAGTTGATTCTAAAGATTATCCACATCTTAATTATGTAAAATTTTCATCAACTGTCATTTTTTCCAACCATACATTTACTACCCACTTTCCTGCCTTTTTTACAACTACTATAAATATTAAGATTATCCAGTTGTAAACACCTCTGAGATGATAAAAATATTTAGAAAGTGGAGTACAGATGGAAATTACTATACAACCACTCAAAGGTATTTGTTACATTAACAAATACACATCAGAGCGTGTCTGCTACTTAAGCTTTTAAACGACATCTGGTATTTACTATTGCATAATGACCAGTTAGGACAATCTCTTTCCTCTGAGTAGAAAATAAGGGATGAAGTGACTACTATTATTACGAGGGACGGTTGGCAGTGCTGTGCTGCTACACAAGAACATGGAAGGAACAACATTTTCAGAGATCTGTAGTTCCTTGGCTTGATGGATGTCAGTAATAATCCATAATAATCTAAAAGCATTACAGATTGTATCACAAAAACTGTATGTGGTGGCTCCACCAAGTATGCGTCTTCACTGTGATATAACTTTTCTATAGGGAAACACATCCCATTGCTCTGTTGCCTACTGAGGAAGAAAAAAAAAAGCACCAGTGCCAGAATAATACTAAGAAATTCATTGGCTCTCATTGAAAAGATTGTAATGAACACTATCTATAGCAAATCTTCAAAATACTAATCAAACGTGATTCATAATTCTCTGCAGCTACTGTCCCAGACACCATATATTTCACGGAGTGGGGGAAAACACTGAACTTCTTTTGCAAATTAATTTTTCTGCTTATGCCAATGTGACATGCGGATGCATCTACACATCAGTCACACCTGAAATGTGAATGTACCTGACAGATCAGTCGCACTGGGAAGAAGATGGTGTCAGCAAAGCAAGGTTCTACAAGTAAAGTGTGTTGCCTCCGCAGGTTTTTCAGAGGAAGACAAAGACAGCAGAAAAGCTACAAAATTTTTGGAACAGGGAAGCCCTGTAAGAGGACAAGGAAAACTTTTATTTCCACCAGAAGGCTTAGCACCAATAAGAGAAAAGGAACAACACAGGATACCCTTTGGAGAAGTCCAAGAGAGTGAGAAAGTGGCCTTAGTGAAGGGCACCATACACAAAAGCAGCTTGGTCACCTGCGCCAGCAATTCCTTCAAAACAAAGAGCCACTTCTCCTCCAAAAGGTACTGACTGTTCTGCACACTCTGCCAGGGGACATGGGAGGTAGATAGCAGACAGAAGTCACTGTGCAGTGCCCTCTGTGACACCCAGTCACCTCATAACCTCTGCTGCTGACCAATACTTATGACCACCGCTACAGAAATGTTCTCCTGTCTTCAGGTACGTGCTGTTGTAAGCCTCATAGTTTGATGTTAACACACTGAGAACTCGCTGTTTCTGGTTTTACTAATGAATATGCAGCAACACAGGCTTTCTGTGAACTAACCTGCAACGGCTGCATCTAGTTCATCTTCCTCCACAGACTCCTGAGTAAGAAGGTCTGCCAGAGGAGAGAGCGGGTAACAGCTGTTGAGGTTCAATCCCAGCATGAAGTTGTGCACTTTCCCAGCACGCCCTTCCCTGGTGTTGAAAAGGGCACTATCGCCCACCAAAGCCATCAGCATTCTCTGCACCCAGCTTTCTTGGCTGCTGTTCTGATATTCTCGATTTGCCTCAACATTTTCAGTGCCTGTAGAGGAAAATGAAAATAACCAATGGTGAACCAGTTGATGTATAAAGTATAAAACCAAGATTTGTGGATCTACTAAAATAAAGTCCCTACTAAAATAAAAGAAACTGGGTCACAGCTTTCTTTAAAGAACTGAACGACGGAGCTTCGCTGCAAGAATTTCAGAGGAATGGACAGAAACAATGCTCTTAAGTTCACAGGCCAGAGAAACTTTTCATCTGCAGTATAGTAGCATGGATGTGTCCGTCAGGAAAATAGATTGAGAATGTGTTAGATGACCTGAGCTTAATTAGTTTGGATGGCAAGGGAAATGACGATATGGTTTTATCTGTGCTAGCACCCAAAATGCAAACTCTCTGGGGCTCAGGGATCACACTTGAGTCACCAAGATTCATGCTCTATGTAGACCTGAATTCATCCGGATGCGTACCCTTCTCCATCCTTTGCTGACTGCTAAAAACCCAGCTTTCCTTAAGAAGGCAAAGTTAGTCTGCATAAAAGAGAATGCTACAGCACAGGAATTCTAAAATACCTGAAAATATCCTTTCAGTAAACTGTAGACTAGAATCAATATCTGGTTTTAATTAACTAAAGAGCAGAACAAAACATCCAGACTTAGATGTCTACAGCTAGATGTCACAGAAAAAAATACTTTGATTGGCATCACCTTGCGTTCATACTGTCAAAACTTTGACTTTTTGAGGTGTTTTGTATAAGAACATATTTCAGGCTCAGGCTAGATACTTCAAATCCAGCACTGAAATGTGCCTCTTTAATCCAGGCTTTAAAGGAGCTGATTTTTATATAAGTAGAGAGAAAACCAAGTATCAAACACCACAAAATTGAGAGGCTTCTATAGAAGTAGAGGGATTACCAAGTGTTTACAAATCACAGATTTGTAGGTTGTCAACTATGTCTACAAACTATGAGTGAAATGTACTGTTTCAGGCTGGCTAAATTGCTTAAACAGGAAATCCACATATAAATACAAAATGTGGTATCACCATCTCCCTATTATTTAACACATAAGGGGAACTGAAGATGTAATTATTTAACTGAGCTAATGACATAATTCACTGTCTCATCGCTCAAGATTTTATTTTCTTCCTGTGGATCCTAAAATTACAAAAAGCTGCATGCCCATCTTTGCTTTAGTTGTTAAAAACATAACCAATTTCTTCAGGTGAAAATCACCTTTGTCTCCAAAAGTATCATCAAATACAGAAAGCATTATTAGGACGAGACAGAGACCCTGACTAAAATCACAGAAATCCCCAGGTGGTTTAGATACTTAAGGATAATTTTCAACAGGATCTTTTCTTCCCACTGTCCAGTGTTCCACTTGTGGTTGTATCTCTTCTGGGAAACCGGATTGGGGCATTGTTTAAAACACTGTGCCAAGCAGTAGGAATTTCCTGTATCAGATGTCATTTGTAAAGGTGCTAGAAGACATCTATGAATGCTGGAAACACAAACTAATAGTTGATCAAGGAACCCTTAAGAACAATGGATAGTGTTAGTTTACTGGGCTGATAACAATTCGACCAAGCCTCTGAGCTCAGTAGCTTGCTGGCAACAGACTTCTGGAAATTACTAGCTCAGCAAGCCTAATTTTTGGATGTATTTGAAATTGCAGGCCTCTGTGAAGCCCCATTGGGCTGATGCCAAGACCGAAGATATGTGAGAGAATCATTTGACAATCAGCTTCTGCAGGAGGTGTGAACTCAAGCCAAAGGCTCTCCTGACGTCTCTTGTTCAACATCTCTCTATTTTGCTGAGCCACTGGTTCCTTTAAGAGCCTTGGGCTGGGCAATTAAGTTCCATCATTGGTATAAATGAGAGCAGAGCTCTCGATATGAGACTATTGGTAAGACCAAGGAAAACCAGCTATGGCTAATTACCAACATCCACAAACTTGACCATGCTACATGAAAGGTGATGAAAAACGTAAACTGTGAATAATGTGAATATTTCCTTACCTTTTGGATGCTGTGATTCATCTTCACTGTCTGAACTGTCATTGCTTACAAGGTGCTTTAGTCTAATATTTTCTGTTGAAAGAAATATAAAATTACTTTAAACTGCTATGGTTTCATTATCAGAACAGCTAAGAATTTCAAAACAATTTGTCTTCATAATAGAAAATACAGCTGAAGAGATTCAATATGCTGTGGACATCTCTATGTTCCAAATCTGATGAGAATCTATTGTCTTTAGCCTGCAATTTTTGAAAAGCTCCTGCACTAAGCAGATTAGCCAGGGGGCTGAGAAAACAAAATGTAATCCTAAAATCTACCACTCACCTCTGCACCACCTATCTGACACATTTCATTCACCTTGATTAAAATGTAGCTGTACAGCTTCTGTCCTCTCAACAACAACTAATGATCTAGGAAGATCATTTCTGTTAATTACCATCTAATTAAAAAAAAAACAAAAGAGGAACACTTAACCTCATTCATACATATATGAATGGGTACCCTTAAAAATGGGCGAAAAACAAAAGCCAAGATAGTTATGAAGTTTCACTGGAGCATGTGTGAAAAATAAAGGCCAATGCAGTTACACAGGTAGAAAAGACAATGGTTTTCATCTCATAACAATGAGAGAGAGAAATAAAACCAGAAATGAGTGAACTTCTCTGGCAGAAATCTGCATTTTGTTAGGGTTAACAGCTTTGTTTCCAAAACAACCATAAATTCATGGTTAACTGTTCATTACTATCTCGAGGTATTATTTTGAAGTCAAAATGAGTACTGAAAAAGCAACACTCCTCAGGTAAGGTTTGTAGTGGTGGTGAATTCATGTGAAAATGGATTATAGGCTGACAACATTGTTTTCGCTAACTATGGACGCAAGCCTTTTTTGAAATACAATAGATTTGCAATGTTTTATCAGCAGCCTCATCTTGGAAGCTTGTAACCTACATAGACTGGAGACAGAGGCTGAAGTCCACTGATGTAACTTTATCCAAGAGAAGACTCTTGAAAACTAAACCCCTTTATTCCCTAGTATAATGTATGCTAGGAATCATCTCTAATTGAAATTTGAAGCCAGTTAAAATAAACTGAAAGAGAGTTGTTTCCTAATGAACTTGAACATATTAACAATCAATTTTTTTCCATTAAAAAAATGAAAATAAAATAACATCTACTTTTTCTCACAGAAGGATAATGTAGATGTTGGTCTCTGGTGACATAACCCTGCTTTGCGCTGTAATTTCCAACAAATGCTGCAATTTCTACCAAATGCAGTAGAAAAACAATGGCAATTTCACTTTGCACTTTTTGCTTAAGTCTTAATCTAATTCCTATAAGCACACCTGGCTGAAAGAGAAGATTGAAGAAAGAGTCACCATAATATCGAGTGCAAAAAACTACAGATTTATTACCCTTGGTAATGAATACTGGATACAGTTGACCACCACAGTTGCTTTTTTTCTGAAGAGGATTATGCCCTCTTAAACTTACATACAACACTCTAAAAATCCCCACAGAAACATAAAAGCTTAGTCACCATGTATTTTCCCTTAAATACGCTTTCTTTTTAATACTCAGTGGGTTCTCAATCGCTACTCAAATACAGTCAATGGACAAACACGCACCAAAGACAAACATGTACAAATTCTTGAGAGATGACATAGGAGACAGGTCAAAATAAAAATCAATGACCCCAAAAGCAAGCTAACAAAAACAAGAAATGCAATTTTTGGACATCAATCATCTCTTTAAACCAACCTCCATGCATAACTTATTATTTACTGCTTCTAGGTGTGATTTATACATGCTGTGTGCAACACTGGCTTTTCTGATACCCACTGGCATTTTGCCATTCATTTTGGTGGTACCAAAGTTTCATTGGGACATCTTCAGCCCTGATTAATAGATTGTCATTCAAGTCACATTAGTATTTTCACATCTTATTGTACTTCAAAGCATATTTTTTAAATTATATGTGAAATGAGCCATGGATGAGAAACAATATTCTGTCGCTCAACATCTTAAAAAGCAGTAACACAGACTTTCCCACTATCAAATTTATTGACAAAGATTCTCCATTAGTAGATGTTAACACTCATGAGGTATATCTGAATTATGAACCTGGAGGCACAGGTCTTATTTTCATCCATAAATAAGAACATTATCAAACAGCTATTAGGAGACGGAGGCTTGGGGTTTTTTGTTATTTTTTTAAATCAACTCAATCTGCATTTTCTCTCCACACTCTTCAAAAAAATCTGGCTGTCTAATACAATTTATTTATTGTATATTTCCCTGTAATACTGTCTTCTGAATAGGAAAAAAAGTGTAAAAAACCCTTTCCTTATCAACTGCATTCTTGAGTAAAATACAATAAAGCCTATCCAAACTGAGCTACCATTTCTTCATTAGGAATGAAACTGAAATCATTAAATTAGTAAGCAAAGGATCAGATACCAACAGGTGAGTTGTGGTTAGAATGCAACTATCTAACAATCCAGAGATGATAAAATTTGGTTCACTTTAGTAACCCCTTAAATAGTACAGTCCAGTGTCAAGAGACTACACAAGTAACTATCAAGTATTTGTCAGCTTCTGATCTATAAAAACTAGCATAACAACATGAAAAAGGGGGTTGGACTCTTTTAACTTCATGACAATAGCTGGATATATGCACATGACTTTCAGTACCTCTGATACTGATCAGAAAGAAAAATGAAAGAAAAGAAAATTACTAACCCCCTTACCCTGACCTCATCAGCTTCTAGCAATGTTGGCAATTAAAGTTACTTGAATTCCACATTCTTAAAATGACTACCAGCAGAGTGCCATCCTTCCACAGAGTGAGAGTGCACTGAATCTTCCTAGTAATTGTTTTGCACAGTAGAAGAATTATTTACTATTACCTAATTCTTCTTCCATGGTGGGACCTTTATTTTGAGAATTGGAGACACCAAGCACTCTGTTAAACAATATAGAAAATGCACTGCCCCAGACACCTGAAAGGGAAAAAATAAACAATGAATGGAGGCTGGTAGAAGTTAAAAAACATATACTGCGCTATTTAAGCAGTTGCTTGCTCTCTGAACACAAGTCTGATTTTGGAACATGCTCAGTAATAAGCTCAGATGTACATGTTAGAAACAAAAAAAAAAGGAATGCCAATCCATGTCTGTAAAATCTTTCAAATGGATGTTTCACAACAAATTGAGAGCTCTACTTCTTGTCTCACACTTTGTGTGATTGCATTTAAAAGGTCTTGTCCATGAACTACTGAAATTAGTTTTATTTTAAAGCCTCTTTCTGTCACATACTCACCCATCAAGAAATGCAAGGGATTTTCACTATACTTCTTCACTACTGTCCCCATAAAAAATTTGCTTCCAAACAAATCAGGAGACATAAAAGTACCATACTTTGCCATACCAATCTCATACGGACTGAATTCCACCCAGTCTGCAAAATAAGAAACAAAATTGTGCTTAGCTAGCAATCTCAACCTGAATAGAAACAGAGAATGAGTATACACAAATGAATGAAACCTCTGTCCAAGTAAAGAAATTTGAGTTAAATGGGAAGCTAAATAACTAACAGGAATATCTCTTAGGTTGCGCAGAAGTCAAAATTTTCATTTCAAATGAAGTACAGTATAATGTCATGGCAGAGAAGGAATTTTCATTCTCCTTCTCTCTTATCACAACAGACTTAGGTGAAAAAATATGAGGTTGCAAAGACAGAGGTATAAAAGTAGTGATCATGAATGAGAAAAACCAAATGACATCTGGTTTTCATCTCATGCTTCAATATGATTCCCTGTCACACGAAATGCAACACAGGTCTAAGTTCCAAGTTTCTTTTCTTTCACTGTGATCCTACCAAAAATGTGGAGGGCAGTGACAAAGGTGTCAGAAAATTTATTCAGTATCACAAAAGTTTTGTAAGATTCTAGGAGATGCATTTGGACTCCACAAAAGACAAAAGTTTCTACTGAAATCCAATATGAAAAGACAAAGCTGAGAGGCAGCTGAGAAATTTACTAACACTAAACGATGCAGAACATATTTTAAAAGTACATGCCATTTTAGTGCATAGAGAGCTCAATAAAAATATGGAATCAAATGTTCAAATCCATTTTCTGATCTTATCAGAAAACTTCAGAAGAGATTTACCTTCTATGATGTATGCTTTTTTTGAAAATGGATTTTAGATTATTTTGAAATATTTTCTTTGATACCAGTGGAGTTTTTTACAGCAGAGAATTCATTTCAAAAAGGGAGCAACGGTGAACAAAAAATACCCTACATTTTTAGTATTTCATCCATTCATCTATTTTATCTTCCTTATTTTTAGTAGTGATTGATTTGACCAATTCTGTAAACAAATTAGAAATAATTCTGAAACAGAAAGACAAAAGGAACAGCTTTGAAAAATCCCCCCAAGTCACAGGATGCCGTACACTCCTCAAGATATTCGGTGTTTCTGTTGAAATGTTAAGCATAAGATTAGCCACTTGTCCTGAAAAGGAAAGATTTAATCATGACTGCCGAGAGAGTTTTGTTTCATGGGGCAATGCTTATCTATTCTAAGTCAAATACAACAACATCCTATTTTCCAAATAAACCACCCACAAATCTTCACATTTATTGGAGAAGAAGGAAATTCCTTTGAAGATCCAATCAAGGAATTTAATGGCATTTTCCTTTAGATATCTAAACAGGAATTAGCAGATATGTATTTCAGAACCGTGTTGACAGCAAAACAAAATTTAGAATTAGAATTAATTTAATCTGTGATAATCTACTTTCATTTTTGTATTTGCACGGAAGAAGATGATTTCTCAAACCACATATCCTGCCAGGGAAATAAGATTTCTGCCTTAAAATTAAAGGCTTTCACCATTAGCTTCTGCCATTCCATAAAATCCTTGAGACAGTGGCCATTTAAATGAGTAGGACTCAAATGTCCCAAGAGACAAGAACTCTATACCAAGAGAAATGCTTAGTGGTTATATCCCAGTAAACTGGGTTACTTCCTTGGCTTTGGCATAATCCAAAATGTACTGAAGTCAAACCTCTCAGCTGTATTCTCTGCACTTTAGATGTGGCCCTGCTTCATATGTGCTGAAGATGCAACAGATTTTTCCTGTTCTCAGGAGGGAAAACAGAGAGATAATATTCTGCCAACGTTAAGCATTTGGCAGGCAGGACTGGGCACACAAATGCATGGACTGTGCTCACACACTCAGACCAGATTCACTTTACAGTCCAGCCTTGCTGCATGTGGGCAGATCAAAACCAAATACCCGATCCAGTATGTGTGATGAACATGGCTAACTGAGCCCCGATTGAAAGATCCTTCTGAAACCTGGAGCCTGGGATTTGAGTGCTATGAATCTATACCTCAAGGCAGCCCTGCTTCCCAAATGAATTCTGTAGCACTTACTAGTCTAGAGCAACACACACACTAACGCTCTGACAGACATAAGTTTACTGTAATAACTTTCAAGAACACAACCCGAAAATCCGAATTTTGACTGGTCTGGCATTGCAGCAGCAGCAAAGTTGATGAACAAGGCTATTAGGGGATGGAAACATGCAAAACTAAAGCCAAACATTAAATTCCACTCCCCTCTTTAACACTGGATCTTCAGGTAATTTCTTAGCATTAAAGAATCTACCTTAATTAAAAAAAAAAAAAAGAAAGAAAAAAAAAGAAAAAAAAAGAAAAGCTGTCTTTACCTGAATCCCTGTAATTATGTTTAGTTAAAATGATTTACCCAGTTTGGGTATGGCTGGCGCCACCTGGGTCAGAAATGCTAGTGGTAGGGAAAACATGTAGAGCCTGGGGCATGAAAGCTATTAGCAGCTGCATGAAATCTTGCACCATCGCTCCCGGAAGGAATTTTATCTGATATAATTACTGCATTTCAAGTTGAAACAACATGAAAGATCTCACCTACATCTATAATCTAGTAAATAAGAAAGTGTAAATATTTCTGTTCAAACCTTACAATATATTTTACATCAGGAATAGCTGTTCAGTTCCAAAAAAGAGAAAAAAAAGCTTACAATAGAAACAATCAAGATCTAGCATCCTATATAATGATATAGATGATTGCCTCAAAAAAACCCAAAAACAAGATCCATCAGCGGATCTGTTTTAGACCAACAGGTAAGGCAGCGAAATTAGATCAGCCTTCAGGTGCTTTGGGTCTTGCTTAGAGAAGGCCGTTATTAACTAAAGATAATTTCATTTTTAAAACGGTAAATAAGTAACCCAAATAAAATGTCTCAGAAAACAGAAGCTCATCACAATACTTCTATTTTCAAACAAAAAGGTTTCAGTTTCCTAAGGAGAAAAGTAGACAGCTCTCCCATGAAAATTTAACCTAATTTGCACCCTCATTTTCCATTACCAACAAAGTTTTGACAGTAACTTTTCCAAATAATCTTTTTAGGAAATGTGGATACAATGTCTGACTTGCAAACCCTGGGCAAATCACTTGGTATTTCCCTCCTCAGTCTTATGTATGACTATATAGACATATATCCTTTTCTTTGTACAGCACCTAGCGCAATTGGACCCGCCCTCAATTGAGGCCACTAGATGGGATTAAAACCTGTGAAATAAATAAAGGCAAAAGCCTCTTTTGTGTTACCAACAGTACTTTACACTGTGCAAGAAGTAAAAAGAGGCAGTATATTTTTGTTGAATTCTAATTTCATTCTTCTTAGAAAAAGGAATAATTCTGAATGACTGAAGATAATTCCCTTTCCCTGTTTGATACAGTCCTGTTAAGTAGCCTTCTGCTGTTTGTGAAACACCAGCTTTCTTGTTGTCTTGACTCCTGCAATGCACTTAACTGCTTCGTAGATAAGCAATATTCTTTTCAATTCGTACAGAGTAATTTTTTTGTAATACATAGAGAACAAAACTCGGCAACCACTTAACATTTCACAGAAACCTAAAAAGGCTGTTATGGTGTCAGACTTATTTTCGGGTTAAAAAAAAATAATTAAGGCTTACAAAATGGTCTAAGAATAAGTCTCCAAACTCAGGAATGATAGAGAAATAAAAGGCCATTGACCTAAAATACCGTGTGTTTTTCTTTCCATGGACAGGAAAAGATGCATCTTAAAAGCCAAGAAAAGGCTCAGTTCCATGGTATGCCATGAGGAATATGTCCATTTGATGCCTGTTCTCCTGTAAACTTGGTGCAAATACTGCACCAATAGAATAAGTATCCACCTACCTAATAATATGATAGCTTACCCCTCAGTAATTTCTTGTTATCGGACTCTACTGTTAGATTCCCAGAAGCCACTGAACACAAATGTGTCCATTTCCCAATCAGATTTTAAAACCCATCAGAACAGTCCTTATGATGTGCCTGTTTGCTATATCCTTCAACATCACCACTTCCTTTTCTTTTTTTAAATTAAAATCTCCCTGTACTCAGTTCATAACAATGCAAATTTTATTAAGCCTCGAAGAATGTTTCATATTATGGCAAATTCCTTCCTAATCCTTGCCATAAGATTAATAATTTCAAAGTGTACCAAGCCAGCAGGATAAAATTATTCTCAGAAGTATTAAAGAAACAGGCTTTTTTGTCAGCCACGCACTTCTCTCTTCTTTTCACAAGTGACTCAATACACAGATTGAAAACATACCTGCAAACATAAGCTCTGAGACATCTGGTTTGACATGAAGACATGTAAAGAGTGGGAGAGCACACTGTGCATTATTGATTTTCTCTTTCATGTTGCTCAAAGTGGTGTCCATTCTCTGCATGAATGAAAAAAGACATTATGTCCAAACGGATCCTATAAAGGCCTGCTGCTATTTGGGAGACTACTCATTTCTCTGAAATCCTCAAAGAAGGAAAATGGACTGTGTATGTATTTGATAGATAAAAAGTAATAGTGCTCTGAACACAACGCAAATGGTATGGAATAAGGTGTGGAATGTCCTGGTTTGAGATAAAACAGAACTAATTTTCCGTTCAGTAATTTTACGTTGCAGCTAAGCCTCTTCTAACTAACTGAAGTCTCAGAAATTAATGGTGTCTTTTTTCTGACAGCATCCGCTCTCAGACTGATAAGACCTGATTGTTTCTTATTTATGCCGAGGAATGGTATGCAGAGAGGCTCTTGCTTATACTTATTGCTATAACAACCAAGGTCAGCCAATTTTGTTATTTGTCCCGTTGGAGGGTCAGAAGCGGAAAAGCACAGAGGGGTTACACTAGCAGGAAGCAGTGGACAGAACAGGTGACCCAAAACTGACCAACAGGGTATTCCATCCCATCTGCCTCATGCTCAGTATAAAAGCTGAGGGATCAAAGGGTCAGCTCTCTCCTCAGTGGCCAGTGTCCGAGGAGGAATCCAGATCCAGAATCCAGTTCCCATCCATCGCTGGGCCCAGTCTGGGACTTTCCCAGTGCCTGCTGGTGACGTGATTGTCATCCCGGGAGCTCGATCCAGTTTTGTATATATTGTATATGTTTCATTATTTCCCTTTTATTATTTTATTAATATTTTCATTAAAGTAGTTTATTTTATTTTCTAAAGTCATCAGTCTCTTTCTTTCTCTTCCTCCTCTCCCGGAAGGGAGATGCTCTCCCTTCTTTGAAAGGAGAGAGGTCAGAGAGCATCTGTCGTTTGTTTCAGTGGCCAGTCCGGCCCAAACCACAGAATGGACAAACTCAGTTACTTCCAAGAAAAACAGAACTGAAGAACTTGTAAAAGGAAGTAATCTGCTTGAATGCCTTTTAACTGCATAACTCAGCAAGGAAGGAGTGGGAGAAGACATGATAAGAGGATGAAATAAGCACATGTTATAGAATCCAAAATAACATTGCCAAAAAGAAAACAGTATTGCTGGACAAAGCAAGTACTTTCCCTCTGCTTCTGTAAAAGATGAAAACAAGGAAAAACCTCTTAGGCACAACCGCCATTAATGATCATGTAATGTTTTTCAATCCATTCTGTTTCTGAAAATAAGCAAAGATAACTAAGAAAATCAAATGGACTATTAAGAGGCTTACATTTACTAACCACGGATCTGCATGTCCCGCATAAAATATTCTGGAGTCTACAATCAAGAAAGACTGAAGGTCATTATGACATAATAATACTAAGATGTGTTATCTGTGAATAACCAAAAGCCTTATTCACATTTTTCACTAATTGTGTCAGGTTCAGATTTAAGCTAAACAGTTGCATTTGTTTAACTCTTTAGTAATCAGGGACTTCTAATCAACCTCACAGGCATTAATATCCCTTCATTGTGAGAAATTTATCTAATATATCACAGTAACTAAAATCTGTGTTGCCTGTTTTTCAGTATTTTATAATTTTTCAGTATTTTATTTAGTGTTTAAAACCTAATGGCAATGTATATTCATGAAAGATACAAGTGTATAAAACACATCTGTGAATCTATTAACACATTTCAATCTTATGATAAGATCAAATCCAAATTCTGCTCACCTGACTCATTTGAACTTGAAGCCTGTGGGCCTGATTCAGTCAATTAGGATTTGTCAATAATAAAATACAACAGTCTGAAGCCCTCCTATTGTCTCATTTCTCAGAAAAACTAGTCATAATAAATAGAGATGTGGATCTTTCACCTTTAAATTAGTATATCATTAAGTAAATGCTGCTTTTCTTATAGCGAAATGCGCATAAAGAGGTTACACCATTTTGTAATTTTTTGCTGAAACTGCTTGAGCAGTAATTTCAATACATGATACACAATGCTAAGAGCTTGTTGCAAGTACCCAGCAGTTGAGTTCATTTACGTTGCCCATGAATGCATGATGTTTTCCTAGCTTCTAAAGAAATAAGTACCATTCAGAGACATGTCCCGGAGCAAGGAAAGCATTTTACAAGTTTCTTATCCAGTTTCTGTTCAGCTATAATTTTAAATATTCCTATCGCTAAACATGCTTACCAAGGTCATCTCAAAAAAACAGTAACAGTGGTTATTACGCAATAGTTTCACAACTCTAATAATCATAAAAAATGAACTCACATTATGGATAAGTGTTTCACCTATTAGCATTCCAAAGATATCTGTGAAGGTGACAGGCTGTCCTGAGCTTTTCTTATTCCACAGTGATTCAATGTAGCGTTTGACTTTCTGAGGAGTGAGCAGCAGAAGTGGGTTGTGACTCACAGAGTTCATCAATTCTTGATTGATCTCCTTTGGTCCTTTTTCTGGAAAATCTGGGTGTGAATACAAAGTTGACATGTACCTGCAACAGAAAACAGGCTCTGTAAGTATCAAAGCCTGGTTCAATGTCAGCTGCCCAAAACGTACAAAAAGCTCATAAATAATTCAATACAATTACTGATTAAATCAGATTAATTTACTCACCATTTATACAGTAAACTGTCTTTTTTTCTCAAGGCATAGAAAGCTAAACAGTTTGTTCTAAATGTAAGCATACAATCAAACACTCAACATACATTTCCATAATGTGTATGACGTCAAAGATTATAGTGTTCCTCATTTATCTGTTTAAGGAAAAATGGACAGAATCATCATAAGCTGAAAATACAGCTTCTCATGTTGTCACAGCATACATAAATTTGTCAGACTGGAAGTCCTGTAAGTACACACATGCAGTTCTTTCATTCTAAGATGTACCTCTCTGTCACTCTCCATTTCATTATCACTATTCAAAAATTCCTAAAATATATTAGTATATAGCTTGCTTTCCAGGATCTAGATGTTTTCATAGTAAGATGAAGCACAGTAACTGCAACCTGTGCAGAGATTTAATTGACTCTGAGGATTCAGAAGAGACTTATCAGGCAAATATTGATTTTGTCACCAGGTAACTCTGGACACTGTAGTTTTGTTTACTCAAAACAAAGTTTAGACACACATGCAGAAAAGCATGGTTTGCACTTGGTTGGCTTAAGTAACACTACGGGTGAAGACTCAAGATAGGCTGCCCTAATCTACAAGACGCTCATTTCCCTATTATTTATTCAATTAGCTGGCTCAGGTATACATACCATACTGCAGGCATAATTCTGCACATACACACTGTGTAAGCTTGGCCCTGAGATCACTGCCCAGCAATTTACCTGACAGCATGATGAACTCTGTCACATGCATGATGTAAGAACTTGATTCATTAGTCCTTGCGCAGTCTCTAAAGCTTAGCACGCACGTCAGGTTGTGGGTGGAACCAATACAGCAGCAAGCTTCCATGAGAGCAGAGAAAGGAAAATGCAGGATGAAGAATTCAGTTCAAGGTTGAAGCAAGATGACAGAAACAATCAGGGAAGTAAATGCATTGCTCCAAGGTTAGGCATGCATCTGAGTGAACAAGCGAAAACCTGCCTCTCCCTCCAGGAAAGGAACTCTCCACCCTTCAGAAAAAAAAAAAAGAAAAAAAAAAAGAAAACAGCACTATTCCCAAGTAAAAGACTGCATGGAAGAAAAAGAAAAGGAGTGCCAAAGTGTCAACTTATTTATTCATCAAGCAAGGAAAGTCTGAATAGGTGACACCATCAAGACAGCAAAAGCAAAGTTGCTTAAATACCACTGTTTCCGACATATGTTTCTGAATGAATCAGTTCAGATAATCTTGCTTTTAATACAGATTTTATAGGTTTACATTATATCAACTATGTATTCACACCTGGGTTTTCCCACAAAAGGACCTCATGGCCAGCTGACTGACATCTTTTCAGAATGCAGACTACATGCTATTCCCTAGAAACACAGTGAAAATTTTTCATGCTGCATTGCACTGTTCAATTGCTCTTCATCCAGCCAAATGATATCTTCCACTTTTTACAAATTTAACAAAAGTACATCCGGGTCTCTCAATCAACAGTGCCCCCCCCCCAGTGACAGAACACCCAAGTTCCAGGGATGCCAACCTTTTATAGTTCAATCGGAACGAGAAACTTACTCTAGTTCATAGACACTTCTGGCATTTCAAATCCTTCTGGCATTCTGAAAGCTTTCTATCTAGTCTGAGAGAGGGGAAGCAAGCTTCACTCTAGTGAAAAATAATTGAAAAAACCCACACAAGGAATAGAACAGATCATTGTCTATTTGAAAAGAGTTAACAACTTTGGGGCTAGAGTATTTCCTTAGAATATGTGGAACCAAAATTCATGGGCTTCCTTAGAGTTAAACCAGGGAATAAAGTTCATCCCGGGCAGATTCCATGCTCGTTTATATTTAGCTATTCCAACAAAATTCTTTTTCCCTTACTCTTGAAGAAATGAAACATTAATATAAACTTGTAATTTAGACTGGAACATCGAGGTCTCTATTTCCACCTCCTGCTCAATGCAGAGCCAAGTCAGATCAGGTTGCTCAGGGCTTTGTTCAGTCAAGTTCTACTTTCACACAAAGTATTCACTGAGTCAGATAGAGAGAGGATGACACCTTACCCAACAGCATCCTGGCTTGTATCAGAAATAGTGTGGCCAGCAGGACTAGAGGAGTGTTCATCCCCCTGTACTCAGCACTGGTGAGGCCACACCTCCAATTCTGTGTTCAGTTTTGGGGTCCTCACTACAAGAAAGGCATTGAGGTGCTGAAGTGTGTCCAAAGAAGGGCAATGAACCTGGTGAAGGGTCTAGAGTTCAGGTCTTATGAGGAGCAGCTGAAGGAACTGGGGTTGTTTAGTCTGGACAAAAGGAGGCTGAGGGGAGACCTTATCGCTCTCTACAACTACCTGAAAGAAGGTTATGGCGAGGTGGGTATAGGTCTCTTCTCCTAAGTAACAAGTGATAGAGTAAGAGGAAACAGCCTCAAGTTGCACCAGGGGAAGTTTAGATCTGATATTAAGAGAAATTTCTTCACTGAAAGGGTTGTCAAGAATTGGAACAGGCTGCCTAGGGAAGTGGTTGAGTCACCATCCCTGCAGGTATTTAAAAGACGTGTAGATGTGGTCCTCAGGGACATGGTTTAGTGGCAGTGCCAGATTAATGGTTAGACTTGATGATCCTAAAGGTCTTTTTCAACCAAAACGATTCTATGATTCCACCCAGCCTAATCAAGTAAAGACAACAGCAATACATTCCAGTGCTTGACCACTCTCAGTGCAAAATAATTTTCCTAATAGCTTACCAAATTTCTCTTGCTGTAACTTATGGCCATTACCCCTTGTCCTTTCTCTGTGTGTCTCCGAAAAAAATCTGTTTTCTTTACAGCTACCCATTATGTAGCTGAAGATAACAGTAAGATTTCTTGCTACCACTACCTTTGCCTACTCCTCAAGGCTAAACAAATCCAGCTGCCCCACTTTCTCATGTGCTCCAGTCCCCTAATTGCCTAGGTGGTACTTCAATGGAATTAATCCAGTTTGACAGCACTGGATTCAGATGCAGCTCCGGTATTCAAGCTGATACATAAAAAAATACCGGTTATGATAAAATCATATTTTGTGACATCTGGGTTACTCCCTTGAAAAGTTAAAAAATTTCTTAAGATGTAACATCCTGTGCTGCAAACTGATCCATTGACATTAAAACCAGGTTTTAACATACGACAAAAAAAAGCCTGGAATTTTTCACTTAATGAAAAAAATGTAGTGTTAAGGAGTCCAAACAGTTAGGAAATTTGGATTGCATTTGTCAGATGTCTTTGGCTGATGAAAATTACACAGCTTTTAAATATGTTACATCATTCCATTTCAGAAATATCAAAACAAATAGTTTCAACATTTGTAATAAGTGTAATTTGGGACACTTTTTATAAAAGCCAAGAAGATAAAAGTCTGCAGGTTCATAGTACTGGGCAGGAAGAAGAGAAACCCTTTCATTCAGAATAGTGGTTGAGGAAGACACAATACTGGGGTTCAAAGCATTCTGCTGCCTACAAAGACCAAAGACCAGTGCCTTATAACGCCCAGAGAGTGCCTTTCACACAGTGACATCACTCTGATTTTCTCCTGGTGATGTTGTTCCTGTTGTCCTGGCTGAAGAATTCATTGAGTCAGACAGGAAGACACCATAACTACCTGATTAGGACATCCTAATTGAGACATCTTGGAAGATCTTTTCTCCCATCTGACTAACAAACTATTTTAAAAAACAATGTAATTTCTAAATTAGACAGTGGCAATCCATAGCAGGGTGCCCTGCAGCATGGCAGTGAGTCGGTATTTTTTCCTACAAGCTGAAATACCTCTACTCAACTTGGCTTATGCTAAGAATCAATCAGTGAACAGACATCCTCAGCAAACCCACTATGAAGGGGACTACTGAGTCTAAAATGGAGCAAAAGATCTTTCAGTGATTTTGAGAATCTCTGAGAAGCACCCCAAAAATATAAAATCCATTTTGGGTTGAATGAATCATCATCTTCAAATCACAAGGAATTTTTTTTTCCCATTTCATCAGAAAAATAAAACAACACAAAAAATATTTTGGATTTATACCAACAGCTTGAATTCTTAATGTTTTGGTTATCAAGATGAATAAATCAGTTACAGAGTCCAACTATGTACAGTATTGGCTGTTGATACAGAAACGTCGCTGCATATGTGTAGTACCTCTTTTCATCTATGCCTGCTATTAAAGCTCCTAGGAAGACCACCTGGAGACTGAGCTGTCCTCACCCTTTGAGGCATTCTGAAACACCTCCACCTGCAGATTTGCTCCACTGACCTGCTATGCTGCAAAACAGCTGGATCTGTATGTCTTTTCCGTACTGATAGTATATGCATAAAATTTGCTGTGAATTATAGCATTAGAAATAAGTATACTCTCAAGAAAATTCTTGAACTTCCTAAAGAAAAAATGAAGAAAAACAAAAGAAAAAATCCTTACCACGTGGATCCTGAGAGACCAGCAATGTAAGTTGCACAGTCTAAAATTCCTGATTCATATAGTGCTTTCATGACTCCAGCAAATCCTACCATGGCACGAAATCCACCTCCTGAACCCAATATCGCTATCACTGGTACCTGCATAGATGAGAAGCATAGCATATCATCACATTAATTCTGATAAAGTCTGAAAAGTACTAAATAAATGTTATTCATCAATCACTGGCCAAACATACCAGTGTTGTGCAATTAATAGGTTACCATCCAGAGATCCTCACAGCAGAGAAGAAACTAGTGCTTTTCTAAAACTGTGCAGAAAAGTACTAACAAAACAAAAAGAAGGTATTCTGCAGTCTCTTAGTGGTACTTGTGTAAAGAGAATGGCAAAATACTAATGAAGCACTTTGAGATATGACTATTAAACACTATACGTAGAATGGGGCAGTACCAAATCCCACCCATGAAGTTACCTGCCCATCTTAGGTTCTCTGAGCCCAAGAGCGATGTACAATATGTGTATGTCATTACTCAGTCCCTTCTGCTTCACAAAGAGCTAGATGGCAGAAGTACTGTTGGACTGCGACATGGGAGGACAGCACTACCAATCACGAGCAAGGGAAGCCAGGAACCAGCCAGCAGCATGAGAGGTGCTGTCTGCCAAGGTGGAAATTTCACAGAGGGGCAGAGCAGACTTCCAGCTTCCTATTTATCTTGTACCTAGGGACCACTAGCAACAAGGAGGTGCAAACAGATGGCAGGTAACAAAGTACCTAACACGCAGGGATATAAAGAGAAGCTAAACATGCCTAGCTCCCATGCAGGCAAGAAGGCAGGTAACGCAAGGGCAGGAAGAAAGCATGAATTCCCAGGAGAGGGGCAGCTGCAAGCTTGCTAATTCTGGCAGTGAGAGAAGTCCCCCCTTCCACCTGCAGCTCTTTACCTCAGTTCAGAGCCTTGGTGACAGAGAAGGAACAAATACTGTCAGGGAGGACTTTGGACCAGACATCATAGGTTACTGGATAAGAAAGTGACAAGTGACGCTAGTTGATGATTGCTCTTCTATTGGACACAGGCCACCCTGACAGCCAGACTGATTGTTTAGGGAGGTTTGCTGCTTGCCTAGACTACAGATCCATGATGGCATGGAGAAATGGATGAGTCTCACCTGGTCTTCCAGATGTTACTCCTCACTGCTCATCCATGTGACCAACAGTGATACAAGCAGGGGAGACCCTGAGCAGATGAGAGGTGCTTTGCCCCTTCTTGGAGCAAGAATGAGGGACACAGGCACCTAGAGCTGTGGCCCGTGGACTTGATCTTTCCAGTCTGGAAGAGGAATAGCCCAAGCAGATGCTATCAGGTGCAGCTGTCACTAGTGAAACTCTTGGCTTCTTGACCAGGAAGCCTTGCTTGCTGATGAATATGGTCCACAGGAAAATAAAGAAACCACCTGACTAACAGAGTGAGGTACACCTTCATGAACAGAACTGCTAATTTAATGAGGAAAATTTCAGACTAACTTCAATGATGGGGACCTAACTGAGCAAAGAGTGCAAATGTTGCAAATGCAGGAGGAATGCATGGAAGAAAGCTAGTAGTGAGACCTCCATGTTCTTGGTCAGAAGGAAGGGTGTTCAGAGGCTCACCTCAAACGTATCTGTATTGATTCACAGAGATTGGACACTAAACAAGAAAAACTGGAAGTTCAAGTGCAGTCACAGTTCTATGACACAATCAGAATACCACAGACTTGGTGGGACAGCACCCATGCCTAGCACACAACTAGGAGGAGGCTGGGAAGACAGGCAGGGAAAAAGGGTGCAAGGGCGCTGTACTCTACAAGAAAGCAGCTCCTCGATTGCACAGAACATCAGAATGCAACCAGGGACATGTCTTTTGGAAGTTTCTGGGTCATATCAGAAAGTAATGCTAGGGATGTTGTGGCAGTCAGATTCAGACTGCTGACAATGGGATGAAGTGGGTAAGGCTATCTCTAAAAACCAGAAGTCTCCAGATCTGGCTGTGGTCCTCACAGGGGATTGTTCTGGGACTTGATAGGTGGAATCCTCCTGATTTTCTCTGTTGGCTGTAAATTGAGTGTTGGCAATAGCACTCCCTCCAGAGACAACTGGAACTAGCTGACCTCCAGAGGTTCCTTCCAAACAGTATTTTTATGACTCTGTTATATTTTTTATTCACTACTACTGTGCTAATAGTACACAATATTATCACTGCGCAGAATCCTCCATTTTAGGTTCCTTACAGGCACAGAAAGGCAGTGCCTGATTTTTCTGATACTTGAGGTCAAATAGTAAAAAATATATATATAGTGAAAATCAAATACTATCATTATGACCCTCTTTAGTGTCCTGTCTACTGAAATGATGAAATAATGAAACTCATTAATTAATTTCAAGTTTAGTTCACTCACACAGATTTGTGGCACTGCTTCAGACCTCAAAATACAACCAATAAGTCTACAAATTGGGTGAATAAACCATGTCAGGTCTCAGCGTTAATAAGTTGATGCTGCCATGATGCCCTGATACTTAGAATTCTAACTGCCTCGTATCTGAAGAATTATAATTTATTTGAAGAAGTCACCACTTGTAGCAAGATTTCTATATGTAAATATACTCAGAATTTCTTTAGAAATTCTTCCTTCTTATCCATAATCAAAAATAGAGATGATATTAAATTTAGTTATTAAATAAACTATTTAGTTACAAGGCCACAGAAATTTTTAAAGTGATTCAAACACCAGCTTTAATCCAAATTATATCTTTGTGACAGAGCCAAAAGCAAAGTTACTAATCAGAAACAGAAGAGAGACGAACAATATTTTGGCTGGGAGTTTAAAAACACATTTTATAATAAAAACATCTGATATTACTACATAGCATGAAGACAGTCTCAAATTTACAACTACCTTGCAAAAACTACAGGAGACGTAAGGAGAATTTATGTGCATCTGTACACCTACTCAGCTACCAAGAGATAGCAAAGTGAGCAAAAGCAGACCTAGTTACAAGTGACACTATATTGAAAATGTATCTATAGGGGATTTATTTTATACTTCTTTGCTTCTTACTTCCCAGCCTTCCCAGCCCTGACTTCAAAGCTGTTTCCTTCCACTGCATAGTTTCCCCAAGTATCTAGAAAGAAGACAAAACAAAAAAAGTAAATAATAATAATAATAAAATTCTCTTGCTACCAACATCAAATGTTTTAGACTAAGAAAAGGTCCCATCTGGTTTCTAGTTTCTGAAACCTGGAACAATTTTCCACTGTTCCATGGTGATAAGGTAACAACCTCTTGGTTGTTACTAAGTATAAAAAAAATTACACAGTTGTGCAGAAAGCCTGTATCTGATCAAACAGGTAATCACTCAAAAATTTCACTGCAATGCAATTTCAGGTGCCAATAGACAGGATTATTTATAAGGAAAGGAACCATGTTACTACTGAGTTCAGTTTCTTTCTGCAGACTCCACACTCTAAGTCCTCGAAACTCCCATGGACTGAAAACACACACAGAAACGACCATGCACAATGACCAAGTAAGTCGAGACATTTCTCAAGGCTTCCATTCCACAAAAACTGCTTATTCTTGATGCAGTAAGATTATTTGATTATCTTCTTCATGAGTGTCAAGCTTTAGTAATAGAAACCACAGGTATTTACTGGCATCAGCATGCATCATGCACCTCCAGAGATAGCTATCTATCAAAAAATGACAAAACAAAGGTAAAGATTTAGCACATGCCTGTTTTGTTAAGCCAACACCCCAATAACGGAGCAGTTGCTTTGAAGAGAAGAGCCATATTACTAATCACAAATTTAACAATGTACGTTAGGCTTTGAAAGCTCTTTACAAACACTACCTAATTAACCTACACAGGCAAATCCCAACAGGATGAAGACAGTGGTTTGCAGGTGCAAGCCTGGAAAAAATATGTGAGAACACTTCCAAAGCACCACTATTCAACAAATCTATTCATCAGTGAAGTGGCATGAGCACAAGGGAAAATTTGAGTTTTCTTCAGAATGCAGAGAAATCCGTGAGGAGGATCAACAAAGAATGTGGAGAAGAGTCACTAGGATCCTGACTGCAAACGCTTCCTGTATACTTAATCCACAGGCACTCTGGGAATCATAGATTCCTATACTGGGGGAGGGTGGGTATACCCAGAGGTAGGTGGATGTATAGTGTATCTTCATTTCCACTTGATCCCAAAGCAAAGTATGATGAGCTGCAACCACTACTTTATTTCCAGAAATGAAAGTCAACTAAGGAGCTCTAGAGCAGAAGGCAGCAGCTTAAGTAAGCTTCCCACAGAAAATAAAGCTTGTAAATGATGAAAAAATAACTGAAGAGAAGCATCTACTGCACATTTACACGTATTACAGCCAATGGAATACAAGTTGACTTGTAGGCATAAGTCAGATGATGAAGATTAAGAGTCCTTTCCTGCTTTGCAGAGGAATTTAAAGCACATTTCCAATCAGGTAGGTTTGTTAAAGCAGCTTTCTAGCTGCAATTCAGTTTCCAATATGCTTAAGGGCAAGAAATGGTAAAATTTGAAATTACATACACCCATCTTACAAGTTGCTCTCTAAGATGAGTAGGGCAGAGGCAGGGGGGCAGTAGTTGCAGAGTACAAGTGAAAAGAACCAAGAAGCCATCTCATGATTGAGAAAGAATGGAGAAAAGATAGGATACCAAGGCATGCATGCTCCTCAATGCACACAGGCTGGGGCTGAAACACTCCACACTTTGAGGCATTCTGAACCTGAAGTCCTTTGTACATAATCAGTAAAACTGTGTTGTTATTCACAGATGAAGAAACTTAGGTGAACTTTGAGTAAGTGACTTGTTTAAAATTAAACACATCGGCAGCTAACAATACTTATTGTGTCTCCCGACTTCAGATGCCATGTTAAGACTACAAACATCCATAAATCCTCCTGCTATTTTCCATCTGTACCAATAAAAGTAAAAATGACAGGCTAGAAGGACAAAACTATATTTTAATTTGAACAAAATTTTTTTACATTGCTAGAAGCTGCTAAAAATTCTGACAAGTCAGCTTAGAAATAAACACTTGGCATATGAAAAACGGGAGGATCACATTACCTCAGTCCTTACTAGGGCTGATAAGCCTACAACTAGAGATTACTGTCTTGTCTTGGAAGATGCAATTTAACTGATAAAATTTCAGTATTTGAGACAGTGAGGGATACCAAAGGAAGATGATGACAAAAAGAACATGAAATCTTACCTAGTGTTTACAATAATTCATGCACACATGCCACCTGCATAGAACTGACACTTCAGGCACTGAGTATCTATCACTCCAGTTCTAACTGGATCTTGGCAGAATATCTACATCCTTTCTGAGAAAGATATTATTCTGCTGTAGAAGATCAGGCCAATGCTACATTGACAAATATCAACTCTGATAAGATTTGCATGTGTTAAGATTAAAATAGCTGAACTGAAAACTAAGAAACCTTGAAAATGTTCCCTCACAATATGCACAATTATATCACTACAAATAAAACATGTATGATACTTGTCAAATTCTTTCATCTTCCTCCGAAAGCTACACAAACACATTTTATTATGCAAGACAGAGTTCAAAAGTATACAACAATAACACATTTACAACCTGCTCAAAATTTCACAGACATTTAAAAGGAGTTCTTCAGTGTTGCTTCCAGTTTCTGCAAAAGATTGTCACATTCTGCTTATACTAAAAATGCACAAAAGGAATCGATATCAATGAATTAATCAATCCATCGACTCTGTTCATTGTTTGACACTCCCCACATACACACATCCTGTCACAATTCTGGGAGCAGACCAGAAGAGGGAACAAGCAAGGAAGAAAGAGGAGGATTGAAAAGCTGTGACAAAACAAGTGGATCTATACCAAGTGTATTCTTAATTAACTCAAAATAATGCAGTGTTTTATGAATTCATTGAAAAGAACAATATCGTTTGGCACCTTCCTCACTTTGATGTCACCCAAACCACCATCAGTCCATCTAGATCTGTGAGCTTGGTACAGAGCATTAGCGAGTCAACGAAAGCTGTTGTTTATCACATTCTCTAAGAAATAAACTTCATAAACCTAATCCTATAAAATGGGCTAAAGGAAAAGAAGAAAGGAAAGAAAGAAAATAATTTCTAAGCTGACTGTAACGTTAAAACAGCTCATTTCCTGCCTAATCTTTTAGACATGAAGGCCACAGAGCCAAGGCCATTTTAAGAGCACAGGCTGGATATCAAGCATGCAAGGGCAGAGTCTGCAGTTGGGCACGTGCCCCAGAGCCACTGCACACTTCTTGTGCAGCAGATATTTCACACGCCCTTTAGGCATTTTTCAGATGATCTCAGCTCAGAACCAACACCTTAACAAAGAATGGAATTCAGAATCAGAGCAAAATGAAAAGCATGGATTTATCTCCTTTGCCTAGTTTTAACCTAGGTACATCCTGCAAAGGATTAAAGCAATAAAGAACCAGATAAAATGTACAGCAGTCTGTTTAAGATACCAGTGCAAATGAAACACTGTGATTTCTATCCTACAATGGCATTTACACAGTATTGTCCTTTTGCACATAATTGGCATATCTTGCTTAAGTGCAGCCTCATTTTAGCACAGGATTTTGTCTCCTTAAACTTTAATCTATAAATTTAGAGCACAAGAAAAATTATTCTCCAGACTAAATATGGTATGTGCATAGAGGAAAAAGCATTTTTTTTTTGTTTCTGCAATCTGGCTTTACATGGAACCCTTCTACATCATATCTCTCATTCATTACTTTGAGAGGCAAATGCAGGAATCCAAAGGTGATACTAATCTTGATGCGAACTCTCCAAACTTACATCACGGGAAGTGGTCAAGTTCTTGCTGTTTTCCTCTCCTAGAAATGATTTTATACTGTGCATGATATTATCTTTTCGCTGCTGCCGAAATTTCTTCTCCTCATCACACAGAGCCATGCTGAACCGGAGATCAGTTGAAAAGCTATTTTCCAAAACAGACAGGCTTTAATAAAACACATAATTCAAAACAGAATTAAAAATATCACCTAGGGAAATTAATGTAAGAGTAAACTTCTCATTAACTTACATAGGATGAATAAAATAAAATAATTTTTTATTTAGAAATAAAATAAAATAAGTCATGTGACACAAGTGCATCAGCTGATTTCATGGAGTGATGGACGCAAAGAACAACGGCACGCTGCATTTTTTAAGATGGACATTTGATACAGAAACCTCATTGTTCACATACTAATGAAAACCAAACACAAAATATGCAGCTTCTAGTGGTGTATTATGTGGTCTTAAAAAAAAAAAATTAAAATATAGCAAGTGAGTTCACCACACATACAGGTATAAATTTACAGTCTAGAAATTTGAATTCTCTGCTTATCCACTGAACAAAGAGCTGCAATGAAAAATTTTCATACATTCCTACCGACATATACTCTTATTTAGAGGTTCATGTTAAGGAAGGAGAGGATAATTTTGACTCTGTATCCATTCACTCTCATAAACAAAAACTATATGGATCTCATAATAAATTGTACTGCCTGGCCACAGGAAAAAGCCTTTTCTCTAGCTTTTTTTCCCATATTGTGTGAGATCAAAAATGTACATAGGGCTGCATAACGACCTCAATACTGACTTAAATAAAAGCTACAACTTCAGCTTCCACTTCTCATTTCAGGTATCAAGGCACAATAAACAATGTGAACTGTCACCTCATTTGGAATAGTTAACTCACTGAGCCTGTATGTTATTCCAAGTGTTTGAAGTACAATACCTCCCAGTAGCACTGCCTCTAGCAGACAGGAGCGAGGAGGAGTGTACAAATTTGTCCTGGTATCTGCCTCATTGAATTCCTGTATTTACGAGAATGAGCTAAAAATGTTTGTGCATACTTTGACGTGCTGGTTACAAGGCAGCATTTTTATGAGTCCTTTATGAAAAACATACAATTGTGAAATGGATCCATTTAGGCACAGATAATAATTCTTCAGATTTTTTAAAAATCTCTTATGTAATAAAATAATGGGATTAAGAAAAAGGGGCAAAAAGACTGCCTAGAAGCGATGTTCCATGAAGATATATATGATACCATGAACAACAGGTCCACACAGAAACCAAAGTCTGCGCAGCCACCCAAGAACAACTGAGCAGAACCGGATCAGATTCTTTCGTCTAACATATTTCAATGCCTACTGCCTAAGAGTAGCAACACAGAGCCAAGCATCTTCTGTTCATTTACTGCCAGAGATACAGAATACTTGTAATGTCCAAGCCCTAGAATGTTTAGGGGTGGTCTCAAGAACCACCCACATATGCATCCCTACCAGGTACAAAATGAGCAGAAATTATCCCTGGGGGATGTTTGTCAGTCTCAAGAGTCATTATGGAAGAACACTGAATTTACAGTTGCAGTGCTCAGCACTGCTATTTATAGTTACAGACAAAAAAAAGACTCTTTAAATGCCTTGTTCTCAGTAATTAATTTTTAGACTTTAAAGATACTTTTCTGATTATGCCTCAAGGTGATTTTTGGTCTTTCACCTAGGTAGGCTAAGAAAGAGAGAGAAAGGAATCTAGAGAGAAGAAAAAAATAAGGAAAAAAAAAAAGGGAAGCATACGCTTAGCTTTACACATGATGAAATGCTGGCCCTACCGCAATCTTCACCTTTGACTTCAGTACTGCATGGTATTAACATTCAAATACATTTCAGGGGCAGCTTTGTAATGAGTATCCATATATGCTGAAAGTTAACGTGAGATGGAAAGTTACCAGAGAAGGTAAAATAATAAGGATAACAGCTGAAGCTGATGTCTATGAGTTTATTAGAGAAAAAGCCCTTGAAAAGGAAAACACTTAACATAAACCAGGATGAGAAATTCATATATGATGGCTTTGTTCCTGCAAACATTTGGAAAGCGCGTGCCTATTAGTACAAGTAATGGTGTTTCAGTCAATGACAGAATTACAATGTGAAAATAATCCTCAATTTTAAAGTCTCCTGACTTTACAGTACTTGGTATTTCTATGTTAAAATAAGGATTTTTTGCACTCTACCTGTCATGTTTTTAAGAAAATTCTAACGAACAGAGTAAAATAAAAAATACCTTTATTGCTAACACATTTTCCACCTTTTCTTTTTAAATATGAGATACTTACCATACTTCAAGAGACAATTCCAAAGTCATTTCTGTGACCTAAATAAGAAATATTTAAATATGGTTACACTACTTACAGAGGGAAAAAAACACAAACATACCTGGGACATAAACTATTACTGTCAGAATTTTTCTTTAAATTACTTTTTTTTGAAAAGAGGACAATTCTGAAATACATGAATGAGTTTCTTTTCTACGGAACATTTTCCTTTAAAGCACACAATGTGATTCCAAAATACACCACTAGCACTGAATACACTTGAAAACGCTGCCAGGTCCTGCTAGGTCCTGACTTTCATTCATCAGATCCCATTGTTTTGCCTTGCTTCCACTGACAATCACTTTTTGACAGTGCTATTCATCTTTGGCCTAAAGGGATCTAATTGTCCTCACACAGTTACGATCCTTTGTTTCTACTGCCAGCCACAGTCTGCCACTTGCTTCCCAGTTCACTGGGCAAACATACTCAACTTGTATCTGAAACAAAGGCTTGTAAGGGAATGACTGCTTTGTGTTCCACAAGAGCCACACCAAGTGTCTTTCCACAGCTAAATATGCTCAAATTATCAATCAGAAAGAGTGATTGTTTACAAGTTTCTGAAAGATGCAAGTAAACTAATAGATGTCACTACATAATGATTTCACTTGCAGACCACATAGAACTACCTGAGCCATATACTTATGGATTGGTCTCCTCTGCCTTTCATAGAGCACTTAAAGCAGTTGCCTGCAGGCAAAAGGTTCAAAAGCAAAGGTTAAAGCACCAATTGCATTTTGGGCAAAATCCAAGAGTAAGAGGTTACTAGAACTAAGACAGAATGGACAGGCATTTTCATCTCTCCAAGCTCTCTTATATGTAATGGCCACCGACACGTTGGTACAGCCTTATAGAAGTGTAACAGACTCATACACGGTGTCTTGTTTCACTCTGCCTCTAGCTATAAATGGATTATCCTCCTCGTTTGTGGTATGTGATCACTAGGAACGGACCTAGAACACCTCAGACTTAATGTTTTCTTGACATTATACAGAGTAGTTAAGGATATGGAAGTGCAAAGCTGCCTCTGGCCTCCCACATCTCGCGTACCTGCCAACGGGCCAGGTAATACCTGGCACTGCACTCCTGCCCTCTGAAATTGGAATTGTAAATTATGTAGTGTATTAACAGGGTGGTGGGAGAAAGAAAAGGCAAAGAAATAACAAGGGGAGAACATGAAGAAACAGAGTGGAGAGTCATTTACGGAAATACTTCAAAGACAGGGTAGTAATTACATTATTCCAGCACCTGATATTACTAATGTAGAAAGCACTTCAGATACCACACAGTGATCCAATGGTTGAAAAAAATGTACGCACACAGTATTAAATAAACCCTTCAAGTGAAATGTTCCAACAGGGAAATAGCGTGCTGTTTTCTATACCTTATACAGACTGCCACAGAAATCTCAGGAATACACGTTGTGTATACAAATTGTCTATATTGGGCTCAACCTGACTTAATGTTCTATTACCATTTGCTTATAAATTTCAGAGTGTATGTGGCTTTTTTCACTTATTTTTTCCCGTATGTTCTCTACCAAGCTGCTGAGTGCTGAGGAGAAGATAAAATATATATGTTATATGGCAAGGCTTTACATCATTGGCATGAGCTATGTAAACTGCGTTTTCAAAAATTATTCATCAGCTCTTTCTCACTACCTCACCTCGTGCCTGGCAGAACCAGGCATCTGCAATCAGCCCACCCTCTGGAAGTCCAAGAGTTACTGAAGCACTTAGTGAAATAAGTATGCAGAAACTTCAAAAAATGCAGTAACTTTAAAAAAAAAAGGAAAAAAAGGATGGTATCAAAATTCCAACTGCCCTAAGGCGGTGCCTAATTAAACAGTAAATCTTACATATGAAACTCTCCAATTTCCAATAAATAGACCTTAACCAATTATTTGCTGTAACCACACTTTTAAAGTTATATCACATGGAAAACAGCAGCGCAGCCACAAATCAAGACCTCTCATCATATAATAAACCATAGCCCAAAACAGAAACGCATATAGTATATGCATACAATATATATACGTATAAAGATAACCAGATGTGATGAATATAGTAACTTCAAGTACTGAATTATGTTCAGAATAGCCTGTGATATGTTACTGCAATAAATGACGACATTTTAATATATGCAGAATGAGCTCAGTTACACACAGATTTAACAACAATTTCCAGGAGTTACCATGCAGGCAGACAATCCCTGTTAAACTGACTCCATCTGTTTTGTATACATGTTTCAAGAGAATAAAGAATTAATGCATTATTGCATGTTTACTAGGGCTGTGTTACAACAAGCCATTGCCTGAAAATGAAACATAATAATAAAAGAATTTCTGTTAGCTTTGCGGAAGCCACAGGCATCAGTAGTAGAGGTAATACACTGACCAGCAAACTCTACATATCCTCTCATGCTAACAAAGACCATTAAACTAAATTGAATCAAGTGGTGCAGAAACTGGTTTAGCAAGTGAAAGTTTGAAACTAGATTTTTAAAGAGAATTCTCTCAGAAAAGACAGTAAGGCATTCAGTGGCACTGAATGTTTTTCCTCTCAGCAGGACTGTAAGAAGACAAATACAGTGCCTTTAGGTCAGCACTGTGTTTAACCATGGACAACAGCAAGTACTTAGAAAATGAGCTTCAGAACAGGGTATGCAGAGAACAATCCTCACCTGAGATACCCCTTCCCATGCCCCCAAATATTCAGCTGTTTCCTGACTGAAAGGCTGCCACCCCTACACCCTCCATGATCTATTTTAATCCCTTTTTGTATTCAAAAGAGTTCTATATTAAAAAAGCACATACATACATAGTACTGAGGTAGACCAACAGGATCAGAAAGAGTCTTGGATTTCGTTTCATCTAGGAACACATACTTCTGAGGAGTATCAAGACCAGGCCAAATGCTTTTCTTATGCTTCAACAAATGACTGAGGGAATACTTGGGTAACATCAGACTCAGTGAGAGTCCTTAGGATACATCGCTTAGCCCTTATAAGCACCATCCTCTATTGATTTGTGAAGAAGCTTTATCTAACCAGAATGTGGCACAGATAAAATTCAGACACCTGATAAAGGACTGAAAGGTGGTATGCCCTGGTCTAGTTTAGGTCTCTCAGTTCAGGTGCTCTTTTAAGAACTTTCCATCATGTTCAAACCTGCACCAACAAAGGCATAGCTATGAATGTTGCAACTTACATCATTGAAAGTTAACTGGACCTCCTTCTTCTCTCCCAATTTCAGCGAAGATATAGGAAATGTGGATGTGCCAAGAGTCTCATCCATAACGTAGTTGGCATCCATCAAAGTAACCTAGAAAAGATACACAGGTATTCAATTCTACTTTGATAAATCCCATTTTAATTCCATACAGTCTATGCCTAAAGTAAAAAAAAAAAATATGGAAAAGGGATAGACCTAACCCAACCCAGTGAATGCCCAATGCCAACAGACATGTTCTTTTAAAACAGGATAAGCTCATGTATAGTGTAGGTGGCACCTTCAAGGCATTCAATTGCATGAGTACAACAGTATCATTTACAAAAGCTTTTTTTATCCAAGCACCTTTCTGTCAGTAATTCTCACCATCTTTCTAAGCAGATATAATAACTTCAAATTATACATATAAAATACACAATTACTTCCAATTTCCAGTTAGTAAAACTTCTCTATGGATAAACTTATTGTATCGGGTTTGTGTGGCAAGGTTTTGGTAGCGGAGGGACTACAGAGGTGGCTTCTGTGAGAAGCTGCTAAAAGCTTCCCCTACGCCCAATACAGCCAATGCCAGCTGGCTCCAAGATGGACTCGCCACTGGCCAAGGCCGAGCCCTTCAGTGATGGTGGTGACACCTCTGTGGTAGCATATTTAAGAAAGGGAAAAAAAAACACTGTGCAACAGCAATCAGGAGGGAAGAGTGAGTGAAACAACTCTGCAGACACCAAGGTCAGTGAAGAAGGAGGGGGAGGATGAGCTCCAGCCGCTGGAACAGAAAATCCCCCACAGCCCGTGTTGGAGACCATGGTGAGGCAGGCTGTCCCCCTGCAGCCCATGGAGGTCCACAGTGGAGTAGATCTCCACCTGCAGCCCATGGAGGACCCCATGCCAGAGCAGGTGGATGCCCCAAAGGAGGCTGTGACCCTGTGGGAAGCCCACGCTGGAGCAGGGTCCTGGCAGGACCTGTGGCCCTGTGGAGAGAGGAGCCCACACTGGAGCAGGTTCACTGGCAGGACTTGTGACCCTACAGGAGACCCACACTGTTCCTGAAAGACTGCACCCCGTGGAAGGGACGCATGCTGGAGAAGTTTGTGGAGAACTGTCTCCTGTGGGAGGAACCCCATGCTGGAGCAGGGGAAGAGTGTGAGGAGTCCTCTCCCTGAGGAGGAAGGAGCGGCAGAAACAATGTGTGATGAACTGACCGCAACCCCCATTCCCCATCCCCCTGCGCCGCTGCAAGGGAGGAGGTAAAGAAATTGGGAGAGAAGTTGAGCCCGGGAAAAAGGGAGGGGTTGGGGAAAGGTGGTTTAAGATTTGGTTTTTATTTCTTATTACCCTACTCTGACTTCTAATTAGCATTAAATTAAATTAATTTCCCCGAGTCGAGTCTGTTTTACCCATGACGGTAATTGCGGAGTGATCCGTCTGTCCTTATCTTATCCACGAGCCTTTCATTATATTTTCTCTCCCCCTGTCCAGCTGAGGAGGGGGAGTGACAGAGTGGCTTAGCGGGCACCTGGCGTCCACACTTACATAGTTTTAAATGTGATATGCCAAAAAACATGCAGCAACTTTTCCATCAAGATAGAATGCATACATCCTAGTCCTGTATTTACAGACCAAGATTTTTATAGCAATGATTTGGCAAAACGTGCAGCATTCCAAATTACACATAGCTTTTCTCTGTATCCAGCCAGATCTTCAAGTCTCTTCTCATATTCTCCATGTCAGAGCATACACTTTTTCAAAATGTGATACTATCCAAAGACGTATGCGGATACCGCAGAACACTGTTCAATGCTTTTGCTCTAATCCATGAATGTCTACATCAAGCGGTCTTTTTTTCTCAGTGGCAGCCTTCCAAGTTCTCAAGTAAGATATTCAGAAAGAATTTCAAATTACCACTTGCATGGTTTCTATTCAATTATTACTCCAAACTTATTTGGCTTACGGTATTTTTCCACTTTGTGGAACTGTATCTTTTAAAATATCGTATGCTTGTGCCTTGGACTATATATATATATATATATATACTTGGACTTGGGTTTTTTGCATAAAACAAATAGAATCAAGATACAATCACTTGAATAAATAGTTGCTACATCTGGGTTCAGCCTCTTCTCAGCTATAAAGAATCTTCTTCATCCTGTGCCACATGCAACCCTTTGAAATGATGAACTGTATTTTAGGACATAACTCATTATTTTAATGGTATCTACGTTCTTCTGTTTCCTTGAAGAACTTTATGCCCATTGCTGTAATCTCTGAGGGCTGTTTTTTAAAACCAATAGCAATAGCAAAAACTTCTTAATGGGATTTTGGAGAGCTTCTTACACTTCAGAAGGAAAACTGCACTGGAGATAGAGTTAAAGATTTAGACTAAAATAATCTGAGGAGTCAAGAGGACTGTGGAGTCTGTGTGATCTTGGGATTCCACAGAGAGCTTTTGGGTGGGGAGGTAGTTTCATAGATTTGAATTCTGACACTGCACTCCATGCAGAATCCAAAGGCTCTGCCGGGCACTGTGTGCATGTGTGCAACAATGTCAGAATACAAACATCAGTTTTAACCTAAAGACTATACCTTTCATGGTGATGAGAATGTTTACCGTGAACAACACATATGTGTGTATGCAAATACATATATATCAACCAGGTCCACAATTAACCATTATTGCATGGTATCACAGGTTCTTTGCAGGCAATTTTCATGAAATTTTATAGCATGTGTCTCAGAAACCAGCAACAGCCTTTGCTTATTGTGGAGATACATTTCCAAATTCTACTTATAATCAATCTTGTTGTGTTCTGTTACAGGAGATAGAGACTTGCAGAACCTGGTAGTATGTTGTGGCCATGCTGTGCTGCAAATTACCAGCATGCCAGCTCATAAAATCCTGTACTTTATAATGACTGCATAAAACCATGCTAAAAACTGAGAAACACCTTACAAAATGTTAGCCAAATTACAAAATATGTTTTAGTAACTGGGGGTTCTCACCCTGGTGGGAAATGAGCTAATCGCTTTGTTACCACAGAAGGAAGTGAATGACCCAGGCTTCCACATGGTCAAAAATATCTGAGATCACGTAACGGTAAGAAATCAATGGCTTGCCAGCATCTCAACTTCTTCACATCAGAGTGCATATAAAGACACAGAGTATAAGAGGTGGTACTGTTCCCAGGAAGGGAGCAGGTAAGCCATTCACTGCTGCTGTTTGTGATTTTAATAATTTATCCTTTAACAATCCTTGAACCAAATTTTGTACTCCACAAATTCATACATTACTAGGTAATGCCTAAGTGTAACTACAAGCAGAATCTGACCCAGTCTTTATAGAATGCCAGTAAAACCAAGGGACTATAATTTAACTACTATTTGCTATTCCTCAGTTTACCATTCCGCTCATCTTTTGAAGATCATGAGAGCTACTATAGATCACATCAATTATTTAGCCAGCTGTAGCTCCTGAAAATCTTCCGAAGAGCACAGGATCTGCAAAGAGACAGGTAAAACTCTGTGCCCCAGGACTTCTGTTAGAATCCACACAGATTGCATCAGGCAAAATTGAAACAATTATTTCCCATACCGCAACAAAGGCAGGTTGATGAACCCAAGTTCTTTACTACTTCCTTTTTCCACAAATACCCTCTCACAAAGCCAGAATCACTCCATTCCTCTTTCTAACTCCTGATGCCTATTTGCCTGACTTGCTATTAGAAAGCAAGAACTAAGTTAGAGATTTCAAACTTTTCTAAAGTTTCATGTAGCCAATCTGCATGTCTACGACCAAAACAGTTAGTAAGAATCAACTCAGGTGACTATTGCACCTGACCAGCTGGTGGAAGCTATTTTGGGTAATCTGCTTTCTGCAAAGCTGTAGTGAAGTCATTGTGATTCCCTAGTACTGCTGTCTCTTGTGCATGTTGCATATGGTAGTTCTTTATGCTCCATTGAGCTGATCATGGGATTCTTCCTCCCTGAACTGTAGAACCTGCCCCTCTCCCTAGGAACACAGGGAGCCTTGCAGGAAGCACAATTTACTTTTCAGATCTTGAACAGTTTAGCCCCAAGAGACTACAGTTACTAGCTCAATAAAAAGCTTTAGCCTCTGTCCCTGTTGGCAAATTTAGACTGAAACTGTGCAAGCTTGGGTCAGAAAACTTCACGTGTTAGGGCCATCCCCTACAAAGAACCAAGCTAACAAAGGACTATAGATAACCTTAAATGCTTGTCATGCCCACTGTCCTGGTTTGAGGTAAAACAGGACCAATTTTGTTCAGTGACTTTGCTTCTTAGCTGGGCCTCTTCTAACTACTGAAATTAACAGCATACTGTGCAGACAATGTTCACTCTCTCAGGGTGATAAGACCAATGTTTATAGCTGATGCCCAGGCATGGTATGCAGAGAGGCTCTTGCTTATACCTATTGCTATAACACCCAAGGCCAACCAACTTTGTTACTTGCCCTGTTGGAGGGTCAGAAGCAGTAAAGCATATAGAGGTCCTACATGTGGGGAGGAGCGGACAGGACAGGTGACCCAAAACTGACCAACAGGGTATTCCATCCCATCTGCCTCATGATCAGTATAAAAGCTGAGGGATCAAAGGGTCAGCTCTCTCTCTCTCTTTCTTCAATGACCGATGTCTGAGGAGGACTCTGTTCATCTGGCTTTGACCCCGATCCTGAATGCAGATCCAGAATCCAGCTCCCGTCCGTCACTAAGTCCAGTCTGGGACTGCCCCAGTGCCAGCCAGTGACGAGATTGTCATCTTGGGAGCTTGATATGGTTTTGCATATATTTCATTATTTCCTTTTATTTTATTATTAATATTTCATTAAAGTAGTTTAGTTCCTTCTAAACTCATAAATCTCTTTTTCTTTCCTCTGCCTCTCTCTTTGAAGAGGGGTAGAGCGGAGCATCTGTTGGTCCCATCTGGGGTCCCCCACGTCCCCAGTAGCCTATTTGGCCTAAACCACGACACCCACTTATAAAATAGTTAAACTTAACACTCACCTTTTGTACACAAACTGGAAAGGCTTAACATACTGACTTAATGGTGGCTTAGTTAACAAGCCTGCACATGGAATAAGAGTACCGAAAACATCACTAGGTCGGCTACTCAGCCCTTGGCTCCAGGCATAGAGGAGACAGAACCATGCTTCTGCTTTGTGTCCCCTCAGGGAGAAGCAATAAATGGGCAGAGACTTGACTTTACCCCCACCTATTCATGGCCCATAATAGTTGAATCAGTGTAGGAAGCAGGGAGATAATAATTTATGGCTGATGTGAAGAATAGTAAGCTACTAGTCCTCAGGAGCAGTCCGAGAGATGACTCAGAGGCATATCTTGTAATGAGTCTCGAGGCTACTCTGTGAATAATACAATTTATACAACTCTTGCGTAGCAGCACACCTAAAGGCAAAACCCAGCCTTTAAAGTTTAAAAAATGTGGTAATCTTGAGACAATGGATGTCATAGACATACAAGCTACTGTTATTTTAACCTTCCAGATATGGTACAACTTCCATTTTCCCAGATGCAGCTCAGCCATGTGATTCTCTGGAGAAGAGAAGGCTCCAGGGAGACATTAAAGCGACCTTCCAGTACATAAAGGGGGCCTCCAGGAAAGATGGGGAGGGACTGTTTATCAGGGAGTATAGTGATAGGACAAGGGGTAATTGTTTTAAACTGAAAGAGGGTAGATTTCAATTAGATATTAGGAAGAAATTCTTTACTGTCAGCGTGATGAGACACTGACACAGGTTGCCCAGAGAAGTTGTGACTGCCCCATCCCTGGAAGTGTTCAAGGCCAGGCTGGATGGGGCTTTGAGCAACCTGGTCTAGTGGAAGGTATCCCTGCCCATGGCAGCAGGGTTGGAACTAGATGATCTTTAAGGTCCTTTCCAACTCCAACCATTCTATGATTCTGTGATTTACCTCAAGAACATTCTCTTGATTGGGGTCCAAAATGAATTCAAATGTCTCGTTCCACACAGGATTCACATCATTATTGAAATGTTTCGTTCTCTTCCTGCAATCAGGGGCAGATGGGATGAACAGCTCCACATAGGGATCTGGAGTATCAACTACAGAGCAAAACAGATGTTTAAGTTACATAAAACTCAAGTTTGGGTTGTAATAATCCATACATAGGTGAAATCACATAGCACCTCATGGTTTATGACAGAAAACTATTCAACTATATAAATTACATAAATATAATGACATGAATGATACAATGATATTAACAATCTCCCAAAAAGAAACAGACATTATGCTTTTAAGACTGGAGGAGAACACCCTCAAACAAACAGAATGGCACAGGGACATGTATACTTTCACCAGGCAGTGATAATTATTGTTAAAACCTTTTACCCCTTCCTCTCTTTCTAGCCTTTAATTACTTTGGCTCATGTTTGGCAGAAATATTCCACAAAAACATTCTTCAGTTAATGAAAACAAGCAGCTTGCAGGTATACAGTTTTGGATCCTCTTTCACCTTTGCTGGTTTGGCAATCATAAAGGGAATCAGTCAGGCCACTTATGTACTGCTAAACACAGCGTAAGGAGAGCTGTTGAAATCTGAAGCCACTGTAGTTACCAGAGCTGGGGGGGGGTCACCACAAATCAAGATCTTACTTACACCATGTACTTGAATAACAACTGTGCAGAACACTAACTGAAAATACAGGAACATATGCCAATTATAGCTAATCAGAATTATCAATGGGAGAAAAATACTCATGGACAAAACTCATCTGATGTGTCTAATAATAGCCATTCCTGAGAGCAAAGAGTGCATTGTTGGCAGCCCCAAAAATCCTACCTTTCCAAACGGTTAAAGCATATAATTTTTTTCTGCCCAATGAGATTTTTCTTTCTATCAAATTGGGCCAAGGTTGATGTACTCCTTTACAGATTTCTCTAAAACATTGCTCAGATGCTCCACAGGAGAGCAAGGGAAGTTAATTCTGTGGTTTTGATGATCACGAAAAGCCACCTGGTCTGCTGTGGAAAAACATGTCCATGTTTCCAGCATCTCTCGTCAAAGTTTATCCTCAGCTTCAGTGAAAAATTTTCAGGCAAATACAATACCCACCACAAACAAGAAATCTTTCCTTAAAGGCTTCTTTTTGAAAGAGATTAAAACCCATTACTAGGTAAAACAGGTCTGAACATTCCTCCTTGTATACACTTTAAGTCTAAAGATATTTTTTTTCAACAGAGCCAAATTTTTTTAGAGACTCTTTGATTTCAATAAAACGTTACCAGTGAGAATGCTGAGGCCCAGAACCACCTGGTCATTTCAGCTGGGAGAAGGACGAAAAGCGCAAAACAAAAAAGTTTGATACTTTCAAATGGGAATCAGTCATCTTTTGGATAAAAACCAAACAAACAACAAAAAAAAGGCTTTTTGAAACCACTCAGGAGGTTCTGTATGTGTACCGGGGCAGAACAGAATCAAAAGTCAAAACATTTGGCCTCCCAGCAACTCTAGTGGGGTATATCAGACAGACCTAAAGCACCTTCTGATGTCATTGCTGTACATAAAAGATACTGAACTTATGCTCAAAGTACTTCAAATTTCTCTGGAGATGCAGAATAACACCCAAGTGTCATGCTTTGAATTAAGTATTCCTCTAGCTTGGGAAACTTTAGGGACAGTAAACAAGCCTTCTCCTAGACTCAGGCTCCCTCAAAATTTTGTATGTAAATAGACTTTGTGATTCAAAGATTTCACTTTGTGAGAATTTCCTTGGACTGCTACAACACTCCCCAGAACTCCTGAGGGAGTTTTACACGATGCTCCATATCTGTGAGGCTTAGATAATTGGTACGTTTTGGCAGGTCACACTGCTATCTGTATAATTAACAAGCAGCTATTTAAAGTTGGGGATCAGTGTGGGAAGCCTTTAAATAGCAATCTTTATTAGCTCCTAAGACTTTATGTCTGATCTTGTCTCTTATTTAAAGTCAGGAGAACAGGGGGATCAACCCCCAAGTGTTTTTTAAATCTGTTTTCTCACTGACAGAGGTAACTGCCAACTTTTACTGAATATATTAGCTCTCTTGAATTACTACACAAAATTGTGCCAGAAAGAAGGGAATTAAGGCCCCTTGAAACTAAACAGCAAAATATCTACTGAAATCAGAAGCGACAAGATCTCATCTTGTAGGTCTGGATATTGAGCACTACTTTGGTAATAAGCACTACAGACTTGCTCTGCCAACAGACTGAACTTGCCTACAAAAGCTGAACAGTGTTCTGGGCAAAACATCAATGCTTCCCTTTCCGTTCAATTTTTTATGTGATTATGTGATCAGCCCTGACTACAAGTTACAAAACTCTAATTTTTATTTTAAATGCAAACAGCAAATTGTTTCCTATCTGTATTCAAAATCCCGAAGCATGTGGTAACCCGATACCACTGCACAGCTGGCATACAGATGCTCTTACTAACTTCCGATCAGACAGACTGCAAGTAAGTGTTGAAACAGAAACTAAACCCAAGGCACAGAACAACTAAACTTAGAAAAATCAGTCTTCGTAACACAGCATTGCCAAGCCACCCCCTCATTCCCTGCCTTTATTATCTTTTTTAACCCGAGGCAAAGAGTTAATCATCTGGCCGTTCATGTTTGAAAGTTTATTTTGTGGTATTTTCAATTACGAAAATGAAAATCTATTCTTTTATAACTTGCTTCTTCAGATGACGAGGAAAAACACTGGAAGACTCTGTGCTCTGATTAAGATATTGCTATAAGCTACACTATAGTAATCAAAATCTTACTCCTTACGTTGGGGAGTAAAAACTAGCTACCAGCAATCTGTCAAGTAACACAAAAGCATTCGCTTAATGTATTTCAAAACATTAAAGTTATCAAACACAGATAAAACTGACAGAGTGTGTAACCTTTTGCTTGGATGTATTTATTCCTGTTTGTGATTCTGCTAGTTGATTTGCCAGGTATGTTTTTTTAAAAAAATCTGAAAATTTAAGTGAAAAGTAGCTTGATCACTGCTGTTACTTATATTTTGATTTTAAAAGGAAGCATCTTTATGAAATGGTTCATGAGTCAAAAGCGGATGTTTTGTGAGTGTTATCAATAAAGAGAATTATCTATGTAGAGACAACCCTGTTAGGGACTTGCTTTTATTTTAGCAGCCTACTTGAAATAACCAACCACAGACTTTTCAAAAGAAGCAATGTGTAAGAATTTGTACTTCTTCCTCAGGACACTTCTGAAGAAAATGAAGTCTCTATACAGCTCAGCAAGGCTCCGGGCTATTCTTTGCGCAAGCATTCTCGCATGACTCCTCCATAATTTGTGGGCTACCTATCTGCAATGCATCTCAACTTTTTAACGTAGGTAAAGTTTGGAAGGTTTGCAAATGGATGCATGCACTACCATAAGACAGTGACTATATGGTATGATTCTATATTCCCCTCTTCCTGGCACTCTATTTACAGTAAGTGCCTCAACATGTGCATGCAACTAAAACTTCATACTTCTCCCAGTGTCAAAAAGCTTCATACATAACGGCATAGAAAACACTCTGGGATAGAGGGACCAGACTCCACTAGTATTTCTCAGGAAAAAAAAAACAAATACAAACTGACAATTAAGGACAGGTGTATCTAAAACCCCACCATTACACTAAAAAATACAATTAAGAGTTTCAGCATTGATGTCAATAGAACTAACAGAGTATCCTGCAATTAGCAAATTGTAGTTAGATGAGTTATAAAGGTAATTAACAAAATGTTTATAATAATCCTTGTGTAAGATTTACAGCATCCACCCAATCTCCGTGAGCTGAAGACAGACTGTTGGTTTTAAACACACTGGCTTAAGAAATGGCTGAGAGGTAGGAAGTAAGGATTCAATAACTTTTCCCCATTTGATTTGTCTCCCGGTTAAGTAATTGCTATAGAATCCTATCTCTAAATTACATTATGAATCACGAAGTGAAACACACCATGGACAGTAATTAGGATCAATCATTTTCACATTAAAAATGAGTAATGCTTTAAGCAATCTGCCTTTTAAAGAAACCTGTAAAATTTTCTACGACTGGAAACCATTTGATCTTATGTTACTAATTTGGTGAGATGAGTGTCATCAGGCCCCCATATTAATATAATTATATTTCAGACATAATTTACATTTCAGTCATTCCAATTTCAATTATTTTAATAGCATAATACACATAAAGAAACTATAGAAAGCCTGTTCAAATATAAACTACCATGGATGAAGCCACTACCATCATACCTTAAAATTTATCTCATTTGTCCATCAAAAGTTGAAAGAAATTCAAAGTTCTTGAAGTGTTCCAAAATCTGGTTTGCTACAAAAAAAAATCTGCATGATAGGAATTTGTCTTTTTTTTTTCCACATGAGCATGTAATAAACACTTGTGATCATAATGGATATTAAATAAAGCTATCTTAACTTTAAATTCAGCTACTATATGCATCACCACTATAGAAAGTAAATCTGCATCCAGATTTTTTGGACCCCCGATCTCCAGATATCATGTTTATGCAATTACAGGAATACTCCAGCAAGTACATGGCAGAACTTTCTTAAAGAACTACATTAGTTTGGTTCATTGGAGTTTTTTGCCTTCTGGTTAACTAATACACTCCACCAAGTGCAACTCCATTCATAAAATCTTCCTAGGTCCCAAAGGACCATCTTTGTCTACTTTCCACCATTTTTTTGGCTTACTGCACTACAGTACAATTTGATTAGCATAAAGTTCCGTGCAGCTGAGTGGCTTGACTGAGGCCAAGCTAGTAATGGGAATTGCTGGACTACCTCCCTCTCCTCCGAGTGGCAAGAGGCTGAAAAATGCGAGCTGTGCCTTATGCACCAGTGGTTCCAGCTGGGGAAGGGAGCTTGACCAGGCTGTGCAGCACATACTCACTGCTGTCTGCCTGCAGGGCTTCTCTGAATTTTACAGAAGATATCAAACCTACCGTGTCCCTAGAGAAGCCCAAAGCAGGGGGCATGAAGGCATTTTCATTGGGTTGAACATTAACTAGTATCAATCACAGTAAACCAGCATGGTATGAGC